CGCTTTTGAGTTTGACTTGCTCTTTTCTTGTTCTGATTCTGAGCTAGATGACGAAGATCCCGAGTCCGAGTCCGAGTCCGAGTCCGAGTCCGAATCCGAATCTGAATCCGAGTCCGAGCTCGAGCTAGAGTCCGACGAGTCTTGCTTGCTGGAGGCGCCTGCATTCTTTTTCTTGGTATCCTGAGCTTCCTTCTTCACCTGTGCAGGTTTTGGTTTTGGTTCCTTTTCACTGGAACTATCATCCGATCCGCTGCTCTCGCTACTACTCTCCGCCCTCTTTCTCTTCAGCTGATTGACCGTCTTCTCAGACTTTGCCGCAGTCTTCACCTTCTTATCGTCTGAGCTCGAACTATCGCTGTCGCTGTCGCTATCACTCGAGCTCGAACTAGACGTCTCGTCACTATCGTCTTCTTTGGCCTTGACGGTAGAATTTTTACTCGACGCCTTGTGTGCCGCTTTCGTGTTCGTATCTGAATCACTGGAGTCCGAGCTCGAAGATGAGTCACTGTCATCGTCCTCAGATGACAGTGTCTTGCTCGACGGGGGAGAAGGTTCTTTTGCCTTACTGACAGAAGATTTAATGCTGTGGATTTTCTTAATTGCAGGCTTGCTGTCAGCCGGTTTCTTCACTTCAGAAGTAGTGCCTTTAGGTGCTTCGAATGAACAATATTGAGTTACAAAGCAGTAAAAAGACGAGCAACATACCAGAATCGGAGTCTGACGCTAATTACAATTCCTCATGAGCGACTAAAACACGAACCAGGTATCAAAAGCGTACAAGATGAGTCAGAATCGGAATCAGAATCAGAGCTCGACGTATCGTCTTCATCTGATGAGCTTGAAGAATCTGAGGAAGCTATAACACCTTGAGCATAAGTCATTGATACATGTATGCACGTCGTACATACAGTCCGAGTCCGAGTCCGAATCTGAATCCGAGTCCGAGTCCGAATCTGAATCCGAGTCCGAGTCTGAGTCTGAGTCACTTCTGCATTGCACTTGTGGTTCCAGCACTAACAACGCAGCGTGAAGGTTGGAACTCAGACTTACGAATCATCTTTCGATAACTTCCATTGTTTCAGCACTGACTCTAAGCTGGACTCAGGCTGCACCCCATCCTTGATGATCACCACATCTTTAGCAGCCTTCTTGACAGCTTCTGCTGCCTTAGAATGTGATCTCTTGTGGAGAAAATCGTAAATCAGAGTATACGCAACTAAAAAAAAGTACCTGTGAGATCAATACACCTTCAACACCGCACGAAACGTACGCGCAAGGTTTCCTTCCGTCGTGTCTCGCTGCATGCCCGCCTTTCCTGTGTCCTTGGTGGCCATGCCCAATGTGCTTCAAGTACCAGCTTCAATTCTAGTTTATGCAGATTTCCAATGAGGCTCTTACCAGAAGGAAGGCGACCACCAGATTTCACAAGTCTTACAGTGCTAGGGCAGGAAGATTCTCAGCCAATAGAGATGCAGCCGACCCAAAATCATACTTTCTACCACCGATCGCAAACAAAGGCAAACACATGATACTTCAGCCTACGGGAACAGACGCTCGCACCATCCCCGAGGGCGCGACTCTGCGATGAGCTCAATTAAAGGCCCCGCCCCTTCGACTACAACTCTCGACGGTTCTCCATTGCGCGTCGCTATTGTACACTCTCGATGGAACAAGACCGTCATTGACGCTCTGTTGGCGGGCACACTCGCGAAGCTCAAGGCTCTCGGGGTGAAGGAGAGCAATATCGTTATTCAGTCTGTCCCGGGTAGCTTCGAGCTCCCGCTTGCATGCTCAAAGTCCGTATTCAAATCGTCCTTGTCGTAAAAATATCCAACGTTACACAGGGTCGTCTCTGGATCACATGTGCAGGCAGGCGCGACGGCAACCGACCTTCTAGGAGGACTGAACTTTGGGGCCTCTATGAGCTCGCCTCGCCCTTCCTCTCGCACTTCTACGCCTGCCCCGGCGGTCATCTCGATGCCCAGCCAACCATTTGACGCGGTCATCGCCATTGGGGTGCTCATCAAGGGCTCCACAATGCATTTCGAGTACATCTGCGAGAGCGTCACTCATGCGCTCATGAGAGTTCAGCTAGACACTGGCGTCCCAGTCATCTTTGGTGTATTAACAGCTTTGACTGACGATCAAGCACTGGAGAGAGCTGGCATTGGAAGAGGAGAGAATAAGGGCCACAACCATGGCGAGGACTGGGCTGCGGCGGCTGTCGAGATGGCTTCGCATACGAGACGATGGGCAGAGGGGAAATTCTAATTGAGGTCAAGCACCTCTCGAAGAGGCTTGCGAGAAGTGCCGGGGGGTTGTACGATTTGGGCCTTGGAGAGGTTCACAATGCGCAAATTGCGACTCTGTAGAAATAACAAACTCTGAGCCAACGTGCTGAGAGCTAGACTGTCCGCTCCGCTCCCTCAGTTGATATCGAGTCGTATGGTCGAGATTCAGCATCGTCTGCAACTCCGCAACGGCCGCAAATCTGACCATTGCCGACGTGATATTGCGGTGGAGCTCCGGAAGCCGTAAGGAGGCCTCAGCGGTGGTATACAGTCCAGTTGAGCATTGTATACGTTGCCGCCGTATTTTTGTGCCAGAGAATGCAGCAGAGACTCACAGTGGCACACGACGGTAGAAGGCGGACGCGGAAACAACTTGCTAAACCTGTCCGGAGGGCTCGGCGCCGTCAGTTCCGTCGTCAACGACTCATATCGCGGGCGTTTCATCCGCCGACGTCGACTTACCTCATATTCACCACCATCCATATGGTTACCTCTCGCCTCGGTTTACTCCTTGTTTCCTGCTCAGCGCCGTAGCTGGCCCACGACTTGCTGGCTTCTGAAAGCAGTCACGTAAAGCTCACGCCACGAGGATTTGGAAGGAGGCTTGCGATTTTGGTGTATTGCGTCCGAGTAAATGCGGAAGGGTCGGCTGAATACACCAGTGTTCACTTGAAGTAATCATGAAGAAGAAAGTGAGTGTTGTCGTCTCATCATGAAGTGTGAATTGTGCCCATCGAATGATGGTCAGGTACTCCTGATGGGTGCGTCGGGAAGTGGGAAGACGTCGATGCGGTCCGTGATATTGTGAGTTTTACTCTAGTTCGACGACATGCATGCTAGCAGCCTCATATAGCAATTCAACAGTTCTAATAACCCCGCATCGTTGACTTCACGCTTGGGTGCAACCATCGACGTCGAACAGAATCATGTGCGTTTCCTCGGCGACCTCATCCTCAACCTATGGGACTGTGGTGGCCAGGACGCGTTCATGGACTCCTACCTTGCGCTCCAGCAGTCCACTATTTTTCAACATGTCGGTGTATTAATCTACGTGTTCGAAGTTGAGTTGCGAAATATGGCGAAAGATCTCGAGTACTACCGCAATTGCTTGGCTGCGCTACAAAGATACAGCCCTGATGCAGCTGTGTTTTTGTTGGTACACAAGATGGATCTTGCTCGTGACAAGGTAGCGGTGTTGGAACGCAAGACTCATGAACTCAAGCAGGCAAGCGATGGGGTAGAGATCACCGTCTTCGGTACTAGCATTTATGACGAGAGCCTGTATAAGGTGCGAAATGCGCTCCCATGTATGTACTAGTGACCGCGCTAACTCGTGTTTTTCAGGCATGGTCCCGGATAGTGCATACGCTGATACCAAATGCCGTCGTGCTCTCGAAGCATCTCACAACCCTTGCTCGCGCATGTAGTGCCACCGAAGTGATCCTCTTCGAGCGTACCACCTTCCTTGTCATCGCCACTTCCTCCCTGCCTCCCACGTCCACCTTACCCCTCGCGTCACCGCCAACAATGTCCCCAGCCTACTCCACACCATCGTCTTCACATACCAACGGGTTGACGCCCACCACTTTTTCTCATGGTTCCGCTGCTCTCGAGCCCACAGACATCGATCCGCACAAGCTGCCGGTAACGCGATACGAGCGGACGTCGGAGCTGATTAAGGCATTCAAACATGCGTGCTCGCGCGTGCGTGAAGAGTTCCACGCGCTCGAAATGGAGCTCGCGGACTTCACTGCCGTGCTCGACGAGCTGACAAAGAACACCTATGTCCTGATTGTCGTGCACGATCCTACAATAGGTGCGTATCATTCCTCCACTTTCTTGATTTCTGAGCGCTGACGTGTGTATGATTGGATATACAGAGACAGCGGCATTGCGAATGAACATTCGCCTTGCGAGGAAGAAGTTCGAGGAGCTCCAAGGAGACAGTCTCGTATCATAAAATTGTCTCTCAGAGACTTTGATAAACTTTTGTTCGCGTCTTCGCCAATTTAATTGCGTTCCATACCCTCAGTAGCGTAATATTCACTTTGTATACCCCAGTGACTTACTGGTTTCACTCACTCCGCGCTTAACAATTTAATGCTTTGACTGGGTTGGCAAGATATGACATCGTAGATTGACAGTTCTCGCTTGGGAGGCCGAATATGTGTCTAGAGGACGTAGAATCTATCAGTGGCGACCACCGCGACGATCGACAGAACCGCCACGCCTTCGAGCGGGGACGTTGAAAGTGTAGGTCTCGATCATCAATCGATCGTGCTAAATAACTGGGTTAGCTTGAAACGTGGTGCACACGCGCGGGTGTGAGTCGAGGACGGGCAAAGGCTACGGATAGTTCACCTTCGATGAGAGCATCGGCGTATGTGCGCCCGTCGTACAGAACCTATTAGATATCACTGACAGTCTAAAATGCTGGATACATCGGTAGGCTGTACGTAGTCACTTGGATACCCAGACTATAACGTAACTTCGTCAGCAAATGAAGTGAACCAAAAGGAGAAGTGGACTACCGACATGCTAAAGCTAGGACCAGGTACAGGACGACAAGCCTGGGAGATGAAGGACTATCGTGAATGATCCGTAAAAGACTCTATTCAAGTTTCGTTCACATACATCAAACCTTGCAAGTGGTTGGACTTGCCATTCCTTCGGAAAATCACATCAACTACTACGACCTATTGAGATAAGTCTTGTGATAATTCTACGTACTGCACTAGAAATTGGACAAGCAGAACTGAGACGAAGAGAATGATAGTCTACGCGAGACGTAAGTTATGACTTTGACAGCGAACTTTGCCACCGTACCTCGAAGTCAGCAAAAAACAGTGTAAGGTCGTGATGCGTTCTAGAGGTTTCAACGTGGCATCAGAGATAAAGGCACCTATCCATTTTGGCAAGCAATACGAGCCACAGACGTACATCTAACCGATAATCACAAGCAGTGGGATCACAAATGCAGATACTTGCTGGAAGGGATACATAGGTCAGGTAAATACAACAAACTAAAGCGATCTAAAGAGAGACGCACAATAGCACCCCCGACGCATATACCGATTGTGATCTCCATCTTGTCCTTGCGTGCCATCCGGATCGACATGATTTGCCCAGCAGCGTTTTCCTAAGAGGAATGATGCAGTACGATAGGGTCGCGAATAGACAAAATCTGCCTCGGTCAACTTACCACTATGGGAAGAAGGATGAGGCCGATAAATAGCCTTGATATACGGTAATTCTCAGCGGTTTCTTCAATCGAAGCCACTACTGCGCAAATATAAGACCAAGCAGTTATACAACCGACCACCCAGATTCTGCATACTTACGATAATTTGCGCAGAACGAAGTGAGTACAGTCACTAGCAGTAAGCTAGACAATTCTGATGAGCTTTACTATTGGGAAGAGCTAAGAAAAGATGGGCAAACGCAAGTGTGGCAGCAGGAATGTTCATTTGCTGGGATTCCTCCTCTATTTGAGCAGACTCAGCCTCGAATAATGCGGCATGGGTTTTGAGCTATGGCGACGGATGAGGATCATCAAATCCAATATGACTCGCACCGGAGCTTCCACTTACCTTGAATATGATATACCCAAGATAGACGAGGAGGAGCAGGATGGATGTTCCCCGCGAAATGAACCTAAGGCCGAATTCGGCATCGCCGTCGAGATTCGTCCCATCTATTAGGTATCCCGTCTTCGTAGGGATTGCACCATCGATGAACCCGACACCGTGTGTCTGAGCATTGTGGTATGCTGCAGGTACAACTAGAGCTAGGGTGATAGTAAGTAATCGTGCATCAGAAGGCCCAGAGTCATGGCATACTGATACAAGTCAACGTCATTAGCTGCGTAGGCGATGAGCAACTAGATGCGGCGGAGGGATGAAAAGCGTACTGAGCAAGATCTGATACTCCTCAGTCAATGTTGAACAATTCCGTAACCAGCGAAACTCACACTTGAGCGGCGGTCTCGTTATATTTGCTGTCTTTGAGGAAGCCTCCTGTACCAAATGTGTGAGCTGTTGGATCGGCCACCGAGACATACTACAACCTCGCTGACCCAAAAGAAAGGAAGACCCTAAGACAAAGAGTAGGTTGGACAAGATAGAGCCTAGCATCTTAAAAAAGTGGATAATCATGGTAGAATTGATGGATAGATATGAAAGCAGACATACAGAAGTCTGCACTATGCGCAGTTCGTCTGGGAACCTGATCTTAGTTTCACAGTGTCTCGGAACGTGAGACCAAACAAAACCTTTGAACAAAGCAGTGAAGCCCACTATGAGTTCGAGTGCATTTCCGAAAGTGGCATTGAGCAGTACAGAAAGCGTCTGGCCTGCTTGCATGGACATCTGATCCATGGCAGTGCCCAAGAGCTGCGTGTGGACGCGGTCAATTCCGGATGCGATGTACCAAGGCTCATGAACGTGTACGAACCGCGGCCAATGGCATGATCGCAATGAAGCTGAAAGTGAAGCAAAATGCCGCATCCCAATCATAAGCATGAGCGACGAAGCTCAGTGGTATGGCCATCAGAAGGGCATTTAGCCAAGAACCAAACAGGAAGAAGCGGTACGAAGCCAGCCACGATGGTTGTCCATCCGCCTTGAGCATGTCCACTATACGGCAGACGAAGGAACGGGCTCCGGGGCCGTTGTTATTCTCAAGGAGAGGGGTGTGGTCGGTGATGGTGGCCATGAAATAGAGCGATGAGAACTGCAACGAGACAACAACTCCATATGTTGGATGGCGGCGGCTAATGTAGCTTCCAACACACCGCTTTGAACCACACTGTCAAACCACACACTTTGCTAAAAATGTACAAATGTTTCTAGAAGCGTCGGAGCGCCTGCCGTGTCCCGCGCAGCAGAGGATTCCAAACGCATATTAGCAACTGCATCTAGCTTGATCTAGTCGAGCCACATACGAGCGATATACATGTGCTTTCTGTCTTTCCAGAAACTCTGAACAAAAAGGCGCAATGTTAGAGGAATACACACTTGGCGAATCCATATAGCTGATGAAAATTTTCACTGCCTTCGGAGAGATCGAGGCCAGATAGCTGAGCACTTCTGCAACACATAAATCACGTATATCGGATTAATAATCTGTTGTAGGTCGGAAACTCATCCATGCCGTATCCATACGCCAAAGACCCCAGCCTGTTCAGTCGACACAGAATCGCCCACATAGCATTCGACAAGACTTGGAAATTATGTGAAATCGAGAGATTACAGCAGGGGTATAAATATTCGGCTCTCCTGCACGGCATAGCAAGTCGGACACCTTGAGGACAACGTGTCAAGGAGAAGACTTCCAATGCATGCAAATGCGATTGCCGAGTTTAATAGAGCGAAGATAAATGGGGATCGGGACCGCAGCAAGGCAAGGGTGGAAGGAAGGTGTCGCAGTAGTCATGGAAATGCTACTTCATAGGGCCGCATATAGGATTGATGAAATGCAGCTACTTGGAGACCCAAACTGCAAAGAAGGCGGATAAGTGAGCGCAACTCGAGGATCAGGACGGCACCGACATGCTAATGCAAGAACCAAATATAGCACGATAAGCCTAACAAGCAGATACGTTAGCATCGCTCAAATTTTATTCCTGACAACTTACATCATGCCTTCCATGTAGTTCGACTTGCCATCCCTATCAAAAAATGTTGAGTATCGAGAGGATACAAACGGGCATCATTAATTATAATTTCTACTTACTGTATGAGGAATTGAACGAGGAGGACGGAGACGAACAGCACGATCGTCTACGAAGTGAGTGAGCCATACCGTCACTGGCATCTCAGAGGGTACACCTATACCTCGAAATCCGAGAAGAACAGTGTAAGGTTGTGGTGCGTTCTATGGATTTCACGAAGGATAAGTCCTGGGGTTTTACCCAAATCAATGGCAGTGGGCTCACATCCACCCTATGATAACAAGCATAGGGATTACAAAAGCGGAAATTTGCTAGGGCAGTATTACAGGTGAGCGTAGACTCTCAACGCAAAGCGAAATGGAAGCGCACAATTGAGCTACCCACGCATATACCGATGGTGAGAGCCATTTTGTCTTTACGAGCCATCCATATTGATGTGACATGCTCAGCTGCATTTGCCTGAGACAACGTCACCACCAGTCCGAGTGAAAAAGTAAAAGACGGACCACTATAGGAAGTAGGATAACTCCGATGAATGGTCTAGAAATATGGTACCTTTCGGCCGTCTCTTCAATCGAAGCAACCACTGTCAACAGTATGGCTCAGTGAGAAAGATAATAAAGTGAATTCGTATACTCACAGAAGTCGGCGCAAAACGAAGTTATGACGGTTACGAGAAGAAGCCTGGACAACCGGACTCAGATGGCAGACAGAATACGACAACGGAAAAACGAACGCGGAACAAGCGGCGGGAAAATTCATCAACTGCGGCTCCTCCTCCTCTTGTCCCCTCTCGTCCTCGAATAACCTCGCGTGGGTCTTGAGCTACGAGAAGAATGAGATAGTCCGTATCTTTTGGTCATTATGCAAGCGAACCTGGAACGTAAGATACCCAATATAGATTATCAGGAGCAGAATGGATGTGCCGCGTGATATGAATCTCAGGCCAAATTCAGCCTCTTTATCGAGGTCGGTGCCATCAACGACATGCTGGATACCTGCATTTAACACCGTGCTGGTAGCATTTCCTAACATGAGTCCGCGTGTCTGCGAGCTGTGATATGCTGCGGGAACAACAAGAGCTACAAAGCCAGATTAACTGCCGCATGTGGATAACATTCAGTGACATACTGATGCAGGCTAGAGTCATGAGCTATACAGCAGATCAATAGAGGTTCACGGTCACGTTAAAATAGCTTACTGAGCTCGCTCTGTTGAATCCAAGTCAGCGACCATGATGGAACGGCAGTTCTGCTACACTTACGCTTGAGCAGCTGTCTCGTCAAAGATGCTGTCCTTCAGGAGTCCGCCTGAGAAAGTTGTATGTCAACCAAGCAATTCATGAAACCTCTGTGCATCCTGACCTGCGAAGAACGAGCAGCCAAGGACAAGCAGTAGGTTGGAGAGAATGGAGCCAAGCATCTATTGCAAGAGTCAATGAGAGATATTATAGACACGAGCATGTACGTACAGAAGTTTGCACGATTCGCAGCTCATCTAAATGTCGGTACGTGAATACCCCGGGGGTTCCGAGACAGGGGAAAAGCAAGCGCACCTTGCAATAAAGCAGCAATTCCGACGATGATCTCAACAGCATTTCCAAACGTCGCGTTGAGTAGGCCGGCCAGAGTTTGTCCCACTTGCATGGACAACTGTTCTGTCGCGGTCCCGAGGAGCTAAAGGCGCGCGTAGGTCAATTCCAAATGCGACGTCATGCTGCGGATATTATCACAAACCGCTGCGAGTGGCATGATCGCAAAAAAGCTGAAAGAAAAACGAAGGGCAGCGTCCCAATTTAGTACATGAGACGCGAAACTGAGCGGTATGAATATCAGCAAGACGTTCACCCAGGAACCAAAAAGAAAGAAGCGATAGGAGGCCAGCCAGGACGGTTGGCCCTCGGCCTTGAGCATGACTGTCATACGGTGGGCAAAGGACTGGGCTCTAGGCTCGAGGGAGAGGCCACTGCCATTCTCAAGGAGAGGTGTGCGGTCGGTGATGGTGGCCATGGGAGAAGAATGGATGGCCTCTGAGCGCACCGGGCAGTTCTGAAATGCGAAAGAGAATCATAGCCTCGTCGGTTACATAATATCGCTCCGTCTTCATGCCAAGGCATTCGAACTGCGGCCAACTCGTCTGCCGCGACCGCGTCAACATGGAGTTGCAGGGTCTTAGTCCACTGCCCGCGCAAGACTTGGCGTTCCACCGTCCGCCAAGTTCACGTGTTTGACATCCAGTATTTGGGTGCGATTAGTACACACTGCCTCACCTGACGGTCTCACGTCCTGCGCATTCGGAATGTGGCACTGAGCTAGCGGGAACAAATTGACATGTAAGCAGGAAAACCTCAGCGAAGAAAAATACCACCGACGGGGATCGAACCCGCAACCCCCACCTAATCCTACCATAGGAAGGTGATGCGCTACCATTGCGCCACGATGGCTTGATGGTGTTAAGACAAAATTGCAATTCATGTGGAGGCCAAAAAATTACTTTCCATCACAATATAATACATCACCATATCATCATGATTACAATCTACATATGCTGTTAGATCCCGTCAGCTTAACTTCCAGCTATTATGCAACCCTATCGTATCGTCGGCACCATTCATCGGTCCGCTGCAACCCAGAGCGAGCTCCCTGCCCTCCTGCACCGCATCTGAGCCTTGGCTCACTCCGTTCGGGCGCGCTCCTGTATTGTCCGCTCGTATTTGCTCTAACTTTGCTAGGTACTCCTCGTCCACACCTCCTGTTACATACTTCCCAGTGAACACCGAGCAATCAAAATCGGCGATCTCAGGATTAAATTGGCGAACAGAAGAGATCAGGTCTGGAAGTGTCTGGAAGATGACAAGATCTGCCCCGATCGTTCGAGCTATGGAGTCGGTGTCACGATTATGCGCGACAAGCTCAGAGCGTGAGGGCATGTCGATGCCGTATACGTTCGAGTATCGTATCGGGGGTGCACAACTGGCAACTATTACTTTCTTGGCTCCAACGTCTTTGGCCATCTGGATGATCTCCTTCGAGGTTGTACCTCGCACGATGGAATCTAGCAAACGGAAATGAGTAACCGATCAGGGACCCGTCGCATACCGCGTACCATCGACAATGAGGACGTTCTTGTTAGCAAACTCTAAGGCCATTGCGTTGAGCTTTCGCCGCACATTCTTACGCCTAGGGGACGTGAGCTTTAACCCGATAGGAGAGGTTTAAACTACGAACCTGACTTGTTGTCCGGGCATGATGAATGTCCGCCCAACATAGCGATTCTTGATGAAACCTTCGCGGTACGGAAGTTGCAATTTTTGTGCGAGATTTAATGCAGCAACACGCGAAGTGTCGGGAACCTGCAATTGGATTATGAGTTATAGCCTGCTACGTTGAAAATTTATATAGCGTACGGGTATTACAACGTCAACTGTGAGACCTCTCTCTGCGAGTACTCGCTTTACCTCATCTGCAAGGGCGTCGCCCATTGCCATTCGGCTCCGATAAACGCTAATGCCGTCTAACACCGAGTCAGGTCGTGCAAAGTAGACGTATTCGAATATGTCTGGTGCGAAAGCGGCAGCTTTCCCGACGACCCGACGGGATACGGTACTGCGAGTAATTATCACCGCCTCTCCTGTAGCACAGTTAACAGCAGCTCCCCAAAGCGATACAAATTTGCATTACCAGGTTTGACATCCTCCCAGTCCCCGAATCCACTGGCATCGGCGACGACACTCTCGCTTGCAAATAGGTAGTCTCTCCCAGAAGTGCCGCCGTGCGCCTTGCGAGAAGCCATACCAACAGGTCGGATACCATTCGGGTCTCGGAAAGCGATGATGCCAAAACCGGCCAACATTGCTACGCAGGCATACGCCCCTTTGCATTGTTCCATGAGCCCACCAATGGCGGTAAAGATATCCTCCTCGTTGATACGAAATTTTCCAGTTTTCTGCAGGTTATCCGCAAAGATATTCAAAAGTAGCTCAGAATCGGACGATGTGTTGATGTGGCGATGTGCGGTTGCGTCCATAAATTGTAGCAGCGGCGCGGTATTAATCAAATTTCCATTCTGTTACGATGATCAGTGCTATGTATGTGGATATGTGCTAGCAGACTCACATGCGCGAATACGATACCGTACGGGGAGTTTACATAGAACGGTTGTGCTTCGGCATGGTGAGAACTTCCTGCAGTGGGATATCGCACTGCAAAATTGGGATGAGAAAAAGGGCTACAACAGCTTCACGGCCTGACATACCATGTCCAATGCCCATACCGCCAACTAAACTACCAAGGGCATTGGAATCGAAGACATCTCTGACCATTCCATTAGCCTTGCACTGGTAGAACCGCCCTTTAGGCCCGCAAGTGACTATTCCGCAAGCATCTTGCCCGCGATGCTGGAGTAGTGATAGTCCCTCGCAGATCTCTGGAGCAGCATCTACGCTAGAGTCGTGTAAAAGGAGACCGAGAATACCACACACTGTCGCGAACGCTTCGATGAGTGAGACCGCATGCAAGACAAAAAAATCCTACGTACTGATGGTCACTGATCAACACCTGGATAAATACGGGGTATCGACGATAATGCCGACCTGCCTAAGCGGCCTGGAGGGACAAACGTGCGTAGGCTTGTAGGAGCAGCATCATACTTTGCTTTATGCACAGGCAACTCAGCTGCAAATTTCTGCCAATGGGATCCCCGCACTACGGCCCGGCACGCATTTCCCGGGCGCGTGGCGTCGCGGTCACAGTGTCTGAGGTCCTCCCGACCTGTCCTCACCAAAAACACCGCACGGTGAGAGGTCGACAGCAGCCAGCTGCTCTCTCGATTATGTACTCTCCGCTTCGGAAAGTAAGTACACGTTGTACAAATTATCCGAACGACAAAATAAATACCCCGAGCTGGCAAAGGTGTGAGCTGGCTGCACTGGCAGGCGATACGCGGGTCCAGGTCATGAGTCGGAGCAAGCCGGCGACGGAGAATGGCGGAGTTGGAAACGAACTTTATTCTGCTGGCGTGTTAACGGCGGTCGTCGTCTCTGTCTCGTCATTCCACCACTCCATCCTTACCGTCGTCGACCATGCTCACCTCGCGCGGTGTACACCGTCTCTCTCGCAGAGCGCTGAACAGCGCGAAGAAGACGAACGCGTTCTTCTCGACGGCTGCTGCCGTTCCCATCATCGCTCGTGCAGCGTCTGCACCGTCCTCGTCACAACGCGCGCAGGCTCGTGCCCCTCGTGCGCCGGCGCAATCTGGTTAGTGTTCTCTACCATTGCTTTGTGGGGGATGATGAGCTCATTCTTTCGCGAAATTTCTCCAATTTACGCGCGTTTTCTGTGCCAGCGCGCTCATATGCTACTGAGGCCAAGGCTACGGGTCAGGTGAAGACCGTCATTGGTGCTGTCGTTGACGTGCAGTTCGATACGGAAAGCCTTCCCCCTATTCTCAATGCCCTCGAGGTTCTTGACTTCCACGGTGGCCGCCTCGTTCTGGAGGTCGCGGCTCACCTTGGTGAGAACTCGGTCCGTACCATTGCTATGGATGGTACCGAGGGTCTTGTTCGTGGCCAGAAAGTTATCGACACGGGTGCGCCCATCAAGATCCCCGTTGGTACCGCGACATTGGGTCGTATCATGAATGTCATCGGTGAGCCCATTGATGAGCGGGGCCCCATCAAGGGTGTCAAGCTCTCTCCCATCCATGCCGACCCTCCCGCGTTCGTCGATCAATCTACTACCGCTGAGGTTTTGGAGACGGGTATCAAGGTCGTCGATTTGCTCGCACCGTACGCTCGTGGTGGAAAAATTGGTCTCTTCGGTGGTGCTGGTGTCGGCAAGACTGTATTGATTCAGGAACTGATCAACAATGTCGCGAAAGCGCATGGTGGTTTCTCCATTTTCTGCGGTATGTTTTAATTCCCGCTCTATCTCCGCATTGGTCTCAATGTGAGGCCGACAGGTGTCGGTGAGCGTACTCGTGAGGGTAACGACTTGTACCACGAAATGATTGAGACTGGTGTTATCAACCTCGACGGCGACTCTAAGGTCGCTCTCGTCTTCGGTCAGATGAACGAGCCCCCTGGTGCCCGTGCTCGTGTCGCTCTCACTGGATTAACCATTGCGGAGTACTTCCGTGATGAGGAGGGCCAAGATGTGTTATTGTTTATCGACAACATTTTCCGATTCACCCAAGCTGGTTCAGAAGTGTCTGCTTTGCTTGGTCGTATCCCGTCTGCTGTCGGTTACCAACCCACGTTGTCCACGGACATGGGTGGCATGTAGGTTGCAGTTATGTTTAAGCTGAGGTTGGTTCTGACAGTCGTGCTACAGGCAAGAGCGTATTACCACGACGAAAAAGGGATCCATCACGTCCGTGCAGGCCGTCTACGTGCCCGCCGATGATTTGACAGATCCTGCTCCTGCCACTACCTTCGCTCACTTGGACGCTACGACTGTGTTGTCGCGTCAAATCGCAGAGCTTGGTATCTACCCCGCTGTCGACCCTCTTGACTCGAAGTCTCGTATGCTTGATCCCCGAATTGTACGTGTCATTTACTGCTAGATTTCGATTTTTAAGTTTTCAACTGTAATTTTTTTAGGTTGGTACTGAGCACTACGAAGTTGCAACCGCTGTCCAGAAGATCCTTCAGGATTACAAGTCTCTTCAGGATATTATTGCTATCCTGGGTATGGACGAGTTGTCGGAGGAGGACAAACTGACTGTAAGGACCCTTGGTGTGTTTATGGTGATTGTTCTCACAATTTCGTAGGTCGAGCGTGCTCGTAAGATCCAGCGTTTCATGTCGCAGCCTTTCCAGGTCGCACAGGTCTTCACTGGTTTCGAGGGCAAGCTTGTGCCTCTCAAGGAGACTGTCCGGTCGTTCAGGGAGATTCTTTCCGGTACGCATGACTCGCTTCCCGAATCTGCGTTCTACATGGTGCGCCTATTTCTGCTTCCTGCTATTGATTTAATCCTCTGACCAATCATTGTTCAGGTCGGCACCATTGATGATGTGAAGGCGAAGGCCGAGCAGCTCGCGAAGGAAATGGGTGAGTCGTCATGATGTGGGCTACGGGCGTCGTGCGTGTTCTGGATGAGATGCGGTTGGTACGGGACCCTTACACATAGACCCAACGCCATCAATAAAATTTCTTTCGACTTTCGAGTGAGGAAGTTGTAAGAGAGTGATGAAAGTCTGGTTGTACAGTGCGGAAATCGGCTTATGCCCAGCCGTCCTGACTGTGGAACTCCGTTGCGAAAGTAGCTCATTTGTCAGCATGTTCTTTGTTGCACCCAAAATATTCTGCTTTTTTATAGTAAGCATCAATGAAAGCAGTAAAAACGAGTTCTAAGTCTGGCTGGCCTGCGAGTCTAATGCTAGTCAGTCCCAGTGCCCAATTAGTGTCTCAATATTCATATCTAGTTACCCTATGAAAGTTGCTACGAATAAAATTAAAACACTCAACTATGTCACATAGCTCTCTTCTCCACACAGCATAGGAATTGGAACTCATGAGATTAAATAAAATTGTCTTCCCAAGAACCTCTCAGTGACTAATTTCTTATTCCGTTCATGTCTAGGTTGTCATATCATTTTCCTTATATTTTGTCAACACTTTCTGCGGTGGTGGCGCTTATATACGACTGGATGCAAATGAGCATGTTGTAGTACCTTGGAGATATGTGACATTGGGTTAGGTTGATAGGGCATTGGGTTAGGTTTATGGGCCTTTGGGTTAAGTCTAGAGCCCTTGGTTAGGTCTATAAGGCGCTATAGCCAAGTGGTTACGGCGACAGATTAGAATGAATATCATGTAATCTGTTCCTCTTTGAGGGCGCAGGTTCGAGTCCTGCTGGCGTCGAATAGTCTTTTGGGTTTCAACATTTTGGATGTGAGCTTGAAACTTCCATGTGCATGTACAAATTTTTCCTAAAGTGTTTTGTTCTGGTAGTGTTGCTGCATGAATGTGAGTGAAGCAATCAGACATGTTTGTAGTTGTTTGGAAAGTGGCGCCGATCGGCTACGGAACAGTCCCTCACTGCAGAGGCAGCGTGCCTCCTAACGCCGCAAGCCCGTCTAAACCATGCCCACCATGGTTTCCACCGTCGAGCAGATTGAGGATTACTTGCAGTCTGTTGAAGAATTACTATTCTCCTCTCTTCAGGCTGCGACTCCAGATTTGCCTCGTGTCAATGAAGCCATTCATCGTCTTTGGGAAGATATCTCGCGATTCGGACCACAATCCTTACCTGCTCTGCCAGATCTACATATCCCTGGACTTGGTGCGTTTGAAGTTCCACCACCGCCTCCGCCGCCGCCGCCGCCATTGCCGCAGTCTGTCTGGAATCGCTCCGCATCCTGGCTTGTAGACCATCCGTGGACCACCACCGGAATAACTATCGGATTGGGCGCAGGTCTCCTCATAGGCTATGGACTGTACCAACCATCTGTAAAACATGCAAGAGCAAGGGGAGTAGGAGGTTCAAGTGTGAGGCAGGTCGTCGGTGCGTCTTTCACGATCCCAGTGATATCTTCCAACTCATTCATCGGGTGCTATAGTCCTGCTCGGAGGAGACGCGCCGTCCGGCCTCCCACTCATTCTCGAGCTTGAGAAGAAGGGCTACATCGTCATCACTAGCGTGGCAACCCCGGACGCTGTCGGTGAGATCGAGCGGAGGTCCCATGGCTACGTCCGTGCTCTGGTACTCGATCCGGCGGAGGTGGGCACTCTGAGGTGCTGCGATATAGTTCGAGATCGCTCACATGTAGCATGCAGCCCGACACGATCCCGTACTTCCTCCGCTCCCTGTCATCCACGCTCTCGAGACGCTTCCCGATTACGGCCTCGGGCGATCCACATGCCTCATCCTCCAGTCGCCTCTACATCCACTCCATTATATCTCTTCTAACCCTACCAGCACCCGATATCATCCCCCCACTCACACCATTCGAGCATCTCTCACTCCGAGACACGTACACTTCGTACCTGCAAGCTACCCACATGACCCCGCTGCAAGTCCTGCAGGCGCTGCTCCCCTTACTCCGCAGTCTCTTCGCCAACGAGCGCGACACAACTCACAATAGTTTCGGCAAGAAGAGCATCATCGTTTGTCTTCCAGCAACGGATGCGCGTGTGGGCATCCCGTTCGCCTCTGCTCAAGCGATGAGCGCTGCGGCGACGCTCCGCGGGGTCGAGGTCCTCCGGCGTGAAATCCGCATGTCTGCGCTGACAGACCCGTCGGCCTCGATGCGGCACCTCAAGGTCGTCGTCGTCGATGTAGGCGCAATCGATGGGCCTAGCATCGCCCAGGAGCTCCCTGGGGATGCGACGAAGCTGATGGACGAGTGGACGCCATCAGAAAAAGTTGCGTATGGGACGGCATTCACGTCGGTCGTCGATGAACGCATGAACGTGGGCGGATATCGGAAGCCGGCAGACGTCTCGGTGTTTGTGAACACTATCCTCGACATCGTGAGCAACGGACAAAAGAGCCGGAGCACGACGTTTGGTTCTGCGATATGGCTTGGCCTAGGGAGGATTCGAGAGTGGATCCACGGCGATAGGATTATTGTCGGGGCAGGCGGTATGTGACCTATCCGTCGAACAGTGTATCAAGGCTAATTTGGTTTCTTGCATAGCGAGGACATATGCCATGGCAGCGCACCTGCCCGCCCTCGTCCTGGACGCTATTTTGAACATTCCTCACTTTTTAGTTTCTGTCCGAAACGCACTCCTACCGGTCCCGCTGCCTGTACATCGGCCCGAGGGACTGGCAATGGTTACGCGCCCACCGACAGTTATTCCTACAGATATACAAAAAGTTACTACCGTGACGGTTGCGCAACTGGAGGCCGAACATCCACGCGAGGTCGAAGTCGAGCATTCGGAAACTGGTTCAGAAGCGGACGTTGAGAGCAATGAGGGATACGGATCTGGTGTCGCTGAGTCTTGGGTGAGCGTTCGAGATGAGTAGGGAGTTAATTGTCGTATGGTCGTGAATTGGTGGGAATCATGTATCGATGAGTCGTAGAGAATTCTGTATAATATGCTTTACGCATGCCATGATAGCGGCCGGGGTCTGTTGTACATTAATGGTGTTTGTACAAAGTGCAGTGTAATGTTTAGTGGAGTGGATCCATTCCTATCGTCGTTTGATCGCACATATCGGTGAAAGGTACAACTATTCGTAAAAATGACATAGGAGTCGGATGAGACGGAAGCAATGTGCTCTAGATATGTGCTTTGGTCTTTTGGCGCAATCGCACGCTGACCAGGACTGTCTTGCTGAGCACTCCCCAGCGAGACTTCGTGAGGCGCGACTTTACCAGCATTTTGCGATGCAGCAGGCTTGCAGCGACGACAGCACGCAGGTCGGCGCGGAGCTCCTTGTGCGTCTTCTCGGAGGACCCGATGAGCACTCGCTCCCAATTTTCGGAGGTGCGTTCATCATCTTGGAACTTCTTCCACGCCAGCTTCGCTTCGCGGACAAGACTGCGCGTCGGGGAGTCTGGCACGGGGATGCCCTCGAGGTCGCGCGGATGGCGCTGAATGCCAGCGTCTCGCAGGCGACGCACGGCGAGCGTGAAGGCCCTGCGAGTGGGCGCCATGCGGAGCTCGTTGAGATGACGTTCGTGTTGGAACCAGCGATGATTGCTTTCCAGACGGGATGCGTAGTTGAGGATCATGGAGGTGTAGAGGCGTGTGGATCGATCGTCGTTGGGTGTTTGACGCAACCTGGAAGGACTGAGCAGAAATATTCATTGTTCGGCGGTGAGCTATAACGTACGTGCTCGACGACGAGGCTTGTGCGGGCAATATCCGCGCAGAGAGTAGCATGGACATCCTGAAGGCTTGCTTTGAGATGCAGCTACGAAACATCATGGGACATGATCGCATGCGAAGCCTGAAGTCACTCACCTCGCAAGGGTACAAGTCAGATATAAGGGTAGCACAGAGTATCGTAGGAAGGACTGTGAGGCTTCCAAAGACGGTGGCAGAATCAGAATACAGAGTGTGCACTCTGCCCCGCTTTTATGAGTCTGAGCTCAGCTCCCATTACTAGTTGGAGGGTAACCAAGGTATTCATAAGGCTCATCAGTGGTATTGTTGGCGTTGTCGACTGGTAGTAAAGCGGCCGATATTTGTCGCTCTCTTTGAGGAGTTTATTGTATTCGAATTGAGAGCATGATCGCAGCTTGCGTTCAGTGCATGTTAGTGTCTAGATGTAGTTGTCCATATCTTGAGACCAAAAAATACTACAACCTGCTGGGAGAGCACTCGGAAAGATTTGCTGGGCGCGTACAACCCGATGTGAGAGAGGAACGAACTCTCTGATAAGCCTCCGAGTCGGTACGGCCTGGACGAGCGTGAGAACAGCACTGTGGGTCCATGAGGATGCATTTCCCGTTTTGGCGCGATGCAGCACGTGTCTACTCACCGCCAACAACTTGAAGCCGACCGCGATGGGTGAGCCCGTTCCCCGCTTTCGCTCGTACATCCACCAGATGTAGCACATTAGGCACCTCTCTCTGGCTCGTTCCCTTTGCCAGCCAGGCCACAAAGCTCAAGCGGGTGATGCAGCTCAAATACCCCTCTGCAAAATCGCCCTCCTCCTTCGTCGACTTTGACCCGCACATCACGCTCGCGACCATCCTTACCACCCCCACCTGCGCCGCGGAGCTGCGCGCGGCCGTCCCGTGCGGCCAGGCCGCCCTCGCGCCCACGTTCAAGTCTGTGGACGTCGGCGAGAAGTACTTCATGTCCGTATATGCGGTCGTGCACGAGTCTCCCGGCCTCGCCGCCTTGCGCGCGCATCTGCGGGAGGCGCTGGGCGCGGACAAGGTGCCTCCCGTTCCGCATCTCTCGCTGTATTACATCGATGACGCCGATCGTGACGACCGCGCGCGCGTCGCGAACGAGCTGAAGAACAGCGGACGCGTTGTGGGCCGCCCAGACGGCGGCGTCGCGCTGAACTGCGCCCAGGAGGTGGGCCCGGGGACAGAGCCGGACCTGCTCAGCGGATTCGAAGGCGCGGAAATCTGGATCGCCAAGTGTGACGGCCCTGTCCCTGGCTGGGAAGTGGTCGATAAAATCAGCCTTGCTTGAAATCGAGGACTAACGATGGGGTACAATGTTTTATTATGACTGTCATGCGTGCAGCTAAAGATGTATTGATACAAAAACGAGGCAAACCGGAACAGATGATACAGCCGTAGAACGAATGCGAGAGTGGAAATGTGACGCTAGCGTAGCACAAAACGCGAATATCCAAAGGAGGACCATGAGAATGTCGAATGATACAAGCCGCAGAGTAATGTGGGAACATGCACAAACCACAGATCTATGATAATGAATGGGAGGTTGTCGGCACCAAATAAAAGAGCGCTTGAGTGGATCTAGAATCTTCGTGATTGGGTAGCAGGGCTGCTTTGAGATTGAGCAGATCAAAAGATGTCAGGCGGAGACCAGGGGAAAGAGGGAGATGTGGGCGTGTACACGGGGAGGGGCACGGAATAATCGATCTTGCGATCCCCATTCATATCGAATAGTTGTGAGTACGCGGGGAGCGTCTGCGCGTACGGCGAGCTCGTCACGGGCGTCGTGATTCCCGCCGACTCTAGCGACACGCTGCTCAGAGACTCGAGGGAGCACGTCGGGGAATGTCCCGAGAGCCACGAGAGCGCCGTCGGTGTCAGCGCAAGCGGGTGAGCCGAGCGGAACCGCGCAAAGCGAATGGGAATCTCGAAACATAGCTGCTCGGTTGCGCGCTTGGGTTCAGGCCCGTCCGTCAAGTCGTACGTGCATGTTACCCTGATGCGTATGCGGTGAACCACATTGAAGAGCGGGCTCTGACCGCTAGGGCGTAGTCGGCGCATCCCCGGCAACTCGTGCTCGACGGGTATACGGGTGCGGATTGCGTACCAGGAGATGGAACGCTCTGGGTTGTTGTCTTCGGAGAAGATATAACCATCACCAGATAGTGCGTAGCGACCGGAGGCTTCTTGTGGGAGAAGCGAGAATGAATGTGAAAAAACGCGGTTCGAAGGAGCGGCGGGACCAAGGCCAACTTCATAGATCGCCTGCATGGGGTGCGGTGAGCGCAAAGGTCTCCGAGGAGGCTGCTCTGATGCAGGTGGGAACGGGTATTTCGTCTCGTATGTCGAAGCCGGAGCAGTGCTGTTACATTTGATGAGCAGACAAAGGGAGGAACGCAGACAGGTCTACATACCGATACAGCTCGACCTGTTCCATGTCAATGGCGAAGTCAGTGACACGAAGCCGTTTGCATTCGGCCTCTTCAAGTCCGTTTGTGCGTAGTCGCAAGCAAACCGGGAACGACGAGTCAGTCATATCCGTGTAATCCGGAACAGACACCGTGGCTCGGACTTTAGATATTACGCTGAATGGTATGGTCATCGTAGAATCCTTGATCTGGTCATCAGCACAGATGGTGTAGTCGAGGGTAGGACGTGACGACGTCGAGGACAAAGGATCTTCTGAGACACTGCTAATGAAGCGATTCACAGAGACGTCACAGCGAAGTGCAGAGATAACTCGGGAACGGGAGCGGAAAGGGGCACAACAAGATGAGAACCAGGATCTGCTGGAGCCTTCATCACCGTTAAGAAATCTCGCAGTGGCATACAGAGCATAGCGTGTGCCAGCTACGCCATAGTCGCAATTACCAAATTCACACGTAGCTGGCAGCCAGCCGGGTACGACGAGATTGAAAGCGACGCTCCAGACGCAGGGTACATTCGCGTCTTCGTGACCCTCGTTGCACAGCTCGATGGGCTCACTCGTTACGAGCTCTTTCGAAAAGCAGCAGATGCGGTATGGCGAATAACCTGTCTCAGGCGTGATGAGTTCGCACTGACCCTCAAGCTCGATGACAAGAGACTGGAGAAGGAGCTTGACGGTTTTGCGGCGCTCGAAGAAAGAGGACGAGGACGACAGGGAAATGGAGATGTCCCCGGAAAGCGAATACGCAGTCCTGATATCCAATAAGCTCCGATATTAATCAATCAATAACAGACTTACGACTTGTCTGGCTCTCCATGCATGTCTAGCGAATCGGAGTGGGGTCGTATCTGGATGGAGACGGTCATGGCGGAACGGGGAAGGACAGACGGGGAGGAAAGAGCGAGGGTTATGAGCTCACAGAATACAAGGCAGAAACGGCAGAGGCATTTTATAAGACATGGCCCGGGACGTGTGGCGCATTCTTCTGCAACGGTCCTGGCGCAAGCGCGGCGACCCTGCTTTGGCCATCCTTTTGTCTGCAGCCATTGTTGTCCCGTTGTGGATGAACGTTCCATTGGCGCCAACTCGCAAAGTGTGCTGACTCAGCGCATACAAGCGCCCATCAGTGCACGGTCCCTTCAAGTTTCTCCATGCTATCGTCGGCTGGACCTGAGGACAATGGGCAGGCCCCTCCGCCATTTTCACTCGCCAGTGCGCTTGACAGGCCTCTATACTTTCATCTTTCTTCTTGCAGCGTCCAGGAATGATGTTGGCCTCCGCATTGTCTTTCGGGACAGCGGTTATGTCGGCGTAAATCTCGCAGAGGGACAAGGCGTTTTGGTATGTACCCACTAGTTGTGACACTCATGCATAGTGGCATCTGTAGGAGCTTAAGAGTCCTTAACACTCTTTGGTCTTTACGGCAAGACTTGGTCGATGCGCATACAATTCATCAAGTTTGTGGATGAGTGCGTCTCTTCCGTGAAGCGGTGCGGCGTCCATGGCCTGCACGAAGCCACAGGGCACCGCTGTAATGACTTTGCTATATTCAACCAGAAGATCCACGCCTAAGTCTCGGAAGATCGTCCCCACCCTTCTGTGCCGACCGTGCAATGTGTACGTGTCTCGGTAGCCAGATGGCCACTCTCGGTCGTCACAAATCAGCTGTTTTCTTTACTGTGATGGCCAGAGCAGTTCGCCGCTCAGTTTTCGGAATTGCGACTACCGCTGGAATCGACGCAACAAGCACTCAAGGTGATTTGTGTTCATAGAGCTGTGAGGGCTGCTGTACGCACCGCACCGAGCTTGAGTGCCATGCCGACTGTTCGATACCGCTGTTGCGAGAACGGTGCCTGCGATGCTGATGAGTTTGTACTGCAATCGTGCGTGTATGCAGCCGTCTACGGCGACTGGCTGCGGTGAGAGCGCAAACGTTGGTTGTGATCGGCGAGGCTGGGCAGCTTCGGCGGTTGTGCACTGTTTGGTCTCATGAGCCCAAGCCAGGGCAACCGGGCGCCTGTGCTACCTTCTTATACGCAGCGGCTGCTCGTCGCCGTCCCCAGCCTGCTGTCTGTCGCCGTCGCTGTCCGCAGCGTCCTCAAGGTAAGTCCATAGTCGTCCAGCGCGATGCCCATTCCCTCCCGCGTTCCCCTCACCGTCCCCCCTGCCTTCCCTTCAGACCTCATCCATTGCTCCAATCTCCTGTCCCAAGCCTCCTTCCCTTCCCCACACAACCGTTGACACCAACGTCTCCGGACGCTGAAAAACACTGAATTTGCCACCATGCCAGAAGCTGACACCAACCGCAAGCGCTCTCGCTCCCCTTCCGATAGCGACCAGCAGAAGCAGCACAAGCGTGCCAACACAGGCGCTACTCTGTCCTCGGATGACTCACAGGCTCATGCACACCAGGGCTCCGCTGTATCCGTCGCAGGTGACGTGAATATGTCCGAGGCTCCTGCGTCCGCGGACGACACCGCTGCGTCCACCCCCTCCCACTCTCAGCCCTCCGACAAGGCCGCATCCGCCGACATGGCAGACCAGTCTGGCGATGCACATGTCAAGCTCGAAGAGGGCTCTGCTACCACTTCTGCTGCCCCCAGCACCTCCTCGGCCACGGGCGCGGCCCCTGCTGCGAACATCCACATGCGCTGCCTCATCGTTACGCAGGATGCCTCCATCATCATCGGAAAAGGGGGTTCGCACGTGAACGAGATCAGGGAGAAGAGTAGCGCGCGAGTCATGGTGTCCGAGAGTATCCCGGGAAATCCTGAGCGCATTTTGAATGTGAGCGGTCCGTTGGATGCTGTATCGAAGGTGGGTTCAGGCTTTGCTCTGGGCGTCTCTTGTCTCATGACCACTGCTGTAGGCGTTTGGCCTCATCGTACGGAGGATCAATGACGAGCCGTTCGACAAGCCATCTGTCCCAGGCAGCAGGGCAGTCACGATCAAGTTCATGATTCCCAACTCTCGAATGGGGTCGGTCATTGGAAAGGGCGGGGCTAAGATCAAGGAAATCCAGGATGCTAGCGGCGCGAGACTCAATGCGAGCGAGGGGATGTTACCTGGCTCGACGGAGGTACACATACACCTTTTGATCCTGCCTCATAATCCCTCACTATGAGTACAGCGTGTCTTGAGCGTATCAGGCGTTGCCGATGCGATCCACATCGCTACATACTACATCGGCAACATTCTCATCGAAGCGAACGAGCGGCTGCCGTCCTACAATAACTCTTCTTACTACCGTCCATCCAGCAACTCGCGTCGCCCACCTCCAAACGGCTCGTCATATGTTCCGGGCTATTCCAATACTTACCCTGGCAGCTCCCATGGGCCTCCGCAACAACTGCAGACACAACAAATCTACATCCCAAACGACCTTGTAGGCTGTATCATTGGCAAGGGCGGCTCCAAAATCAATGAGATCCGGCACATGAGCGCTAGTAATATCAAGATCATGGAACCAGGCGCTGTAGGCGTGGGCATGAACGGCGCACCTGCACCCGCAGGTGGCGAGGGAGAACGGTTGGTCGTAATTACGGGTCAACCTGCTAACATTCAGATGGCGGTGCAGCTCCTGTACCACGTATGCCCCATTTCTCTCACTGTCGGAATAATATTGAATACTCATATGCCGTATGGTAGCGACTTGAACAGGAGAAACAAAAGCAGCTGCGAGCGCAGCAGCAGAACGCAAGCTCGTAAGCACTCCATATATGCGTATGGTCCGGTCGGGTTTGTCTCGTCAGCTTCGATTTCGCTTTCTCGCGCTCTGCGCTCGCTTCTTTCTTGATCTTTATTATCTGCAGGCCCGTAGGCATGTGCAGCCCTGCTGCAGCATGTTCTGTGTATCGTGTACATATACTTCCAGACTCCGAGCTATGCCCAAAATGCCGCTTTCCTCCGCCTCTCCTATGCACTCATACATTAGCATCGCACGCTGCGCCCGATGTTGTCGTAATATGCGTCACTGTAGGCCGTCAATAGTAAGGATATTGAACCTACACCGCGTCCCAATGGCCACTGGAGCAAATAGATACATTGGATAAATAGTCAAATAACCTCCAGTGAATCGTCAGGGAAGAAGACATCATCTATGCCGCTACGGACGGCCTCGTGCTCCTTTCTTAGAGCGTAATACTGCGTTATTTGGTCAGAATGATTAAGCAACCAACCCGGTAAGCTAGAAGCATCCTATCAACTCACCTTCTTCTTATACCTATTCGCGTATAACCGCCACTGTTTCTTCTCTGCCTCTAGTTTCTCGCATGACGTTGTGCTCGCCTCCGCCTTAGCGCGTTCCGCAGCGAGCAATGCAGACAATTCTTGCAGTCGGTCTTGCAGTGCTGATACTCGATCAGACCATTCGGTTCGGAGGTCTTGCAGCTGCTCATTCGCGCTTGCTCGTTCCGCTTGCCGATCTCGAATGCAGAGCTTCAACTTGTCCTTGAGCGTGCGCGCGATCTCGAGCAGTCTGTCGCGGTCACGTTGCAACTCGGGTATCCGCGATGTTGTTTCTGATAGCTTCTGCGGCACAGTGCCATGGTCAGGGGCTGTGGCACGAACAGCTGAGTAGTCATGCACGAACCGCACGGATCTCCGAGAGGACAGATACGATGGCTGCTAGCAGGCGCTGTGATTGATGTTAGATTCTGCGCCATACTATGATCGCGGGGGCACCGTACTCGTGTGCTGGAAGGGCAGGTCTCGCAGTTGGATAACGCCTCAAGGAGGTCGTCTGTCCTACATTCGGTGAGCAGAGGACAATGAGAATGAGTTGGACTCACTTGGAGAGAGCGGACCCGAGCGTCTCGTCGTCAAATTCGTCGTCACTCTGCAGTACTTCATAGCACGCATCCAGGACGGACGTCCCGATGTCGGCGATGCGTGCGTCCGCCAAAGGGGAAGGTGGGCGTGCAGGCTCGCGCTCGTAGTCCGGATAGAGCTTGATGAGGTCGTCGAGAGTTTGTGGTCTACGGCAGATAGCACAGCTCGCGTTGGCAGTGGCAAAGTTGTAGGTCGCACAGTCGAGGCAGTAGAGGTGGCCGCAATGGGTGGCCATGGGACTGCAGTCATCGCCGAGAGTCTCGAGACATATGCTGCACCTTGCGTGCATGGTAGTTGTAGTGAGGGTGAGTGTAAGAGGCAGGACCGCACCGCCTGCGGCGTTGCAGCCGACTTGAAGGATGCAGAACGCGTAGAATAGAACTCGGAAACGCGCGACGCGGTATCACGTGCACGTAAATATCTTTCCGGAGTCATTTCTGGCGTCCACACTGAATCCGCACCCCTTGCGCACGACTGCTTGCTTTTTGTGACAAACAATCTGACAACCTTTAGATCTCAGAGATCGCTCACAATACGGACATGGCGAGCTCAAGTGCTGCAACTTCCCGAGCTGTCGAGGTACTCGCGGGGAAATTAAAACGGAGGTCCGTGTTCAGTGCACCTTCTTTCGCTGTGTTGACATCGATAACCTCCATCAGACAAGTCGTCGGATCGCGTGAGGCTGCTTTGGAAACTCTCCTTGTCCTCAGACAAGTCGTATCAAGAGCTCGCTTTTCCAATATTGAACAGCTAGTGGGACTCATACGAGATGTTGGAAAGAAATTAGCAGAGGCGCAGCCGAAAGGTGTCCATCGCCACCGCGTGTGTGTACTTACAAATCAATATCTCATGTGTCTTTTACTACTAGAACATACCATTGGAAATATTGTTAGGAAGGTCCTGCACAATATTCGAGAGGAATACAACACCGCGACAAGAGGCGCCGCGTCTGCGCCGTCAAGAAATGTCTATTCGATATCGATGTTTGTCTTACAGGGTCAACCACGGAAACACGAGATTGCCCCCAAGTCTGAGGCAACAATTTCGCTTAAAGAAAACGATACTGAAGATCCGGACTCGTTTGCAAAGGGGATCAAACCAGTATTGATGGAGGCAATCCAGGACGTCCTCGACGAAATAGAAACTGTCTACGATAACGTTTCAAAAACCGCAAAGGATCACATCCACTCAGAGTTTGTCCAGTTCTTATACGTACTTTGAGAGATCTCTTACTTTAGAACCTCACAGTGAGATTATTTTGACGATCGGGCACTCGAAAACAGTGGAAGCATTTTTGAAATCCGCAGCACACTCTCGGAATTATTCTGTGATCGTGGCTGAGACAGGTCCCTCGTGAGTATTTGATTTTCAGCGTGCTCGATCGCAACATCCAATTGCTTCTCTGTCATAGGTATAGCGGACAAGATATGGCCACTTCATTATCTTCTGCCGGCATATCAACCTTCCTCGTCCCTGACTCCTCAATATATGCTATCATGTCGCGCGTCAACAAAGTCATAATCGGTGCACACGCCGTTCTCGCTAACGGCGGTATGTTCGCCATCACCGGATCCCTCCTCGCAGCAACAGCAGCCCGCGCGCACAGCACCCCTGTTGTTGTATGCGCGGGCCAATTTAAACTCACACCGCTGTGGAACCTTTATCATGAATATGGCGCACTTGACTTTGGCGATCCAAGCAGCGTCTTGGGCTTCGAAGAGGGCAGTCTCGTGAATAAGGTCGATGTCATCAATCCGTATTATGACTACGTCGGCCCAGAGCTCGTTGACGTCTATATAACCAACGAGTAAGTTTGTGTCTGCTGATTTGCCGCGGCGCGAGCTTATGCAATATTTCAGCGGGGACCATCCGCCGACGTCTGTCTATAGGCAAGTTGATATTCTCATATACTGGACTTTCTTCTGAACTTTCAATCAGACTCGTCAAAGAGAGCTATGACGATGAAGATCAGATACTATGAGCCATAGCATCGCCATAAGGCGCGCTTCAATTTCAAGCATGCACTATGACCTAGGATGCCCATCCTGAAGGGCTCGCCAAGATCAAGAAGAGCACACCCAAACAACAGTGGTCTGAGAGGACGATGGGGTATTCTTGAACGGGAAAGGGGGGCTACTTGCATACTATGATATGTGGTGTGTTCGGTTGCAAAACGACTGTCGAATTACGTTGCAATACACCGATCATGGGAATGCGAATTGATGTAACGTAGCTAAGAGTAAGTCGTCGCAAATGCAAAATCAAGAAGTCGACTGGCTTATAGATTGCCCCGCATTTTTCTGATCGGTACGTGTTTGGACATGGATTCCGGTCTCGATTGCTTCGACTATGTCTACGCAAAAACCTTCGCTACGGCAAGCTCGTCTTCCTCTCTCCGACGACCCTCCTTCCTGCCGCTCCTGTCCTCCTCTGCCTGCTTCCGCTTGCCATACTTGTTGCCCTTTGCCCTCTTCAGTGCTGATCGAACAGCTGCGGGAGAAACGAATTCTACAGGAGTGATTGTCGGTAAATCCTTCAGCATGTAAGCGTGAGGACTTACCCGGATTCGAGTATACCGTTGCGCCACTGAACGCTCCCTCAAATATACGAATCGGTGTGAGGACAAAGCGAGGACCAATCTCAACAAGAGACGTCTGTGGTGGGCCGTTAGGCTGCGTGGGGTCCTTCTCGATGATCTGACGGATGACCTTGTTCAGTCATACGTCTCGTACTGTTTGAGCAAATTCAGACCTGGAAATTACGGAACCAGATCTTGTCATCAAGTACAGAGAACGTCAAGATGTGATCAATAAATGGTTTTGCTTTCCGTGCTTGCGGCGGGACTCCAAATATCTGACAAAACATCCGAGGTCTGCTCACAGTCGAATTATAGCGGATGCTTACATGTGTAAAAACCTCCTTGGTCAACCGGCCCCATTCACTTTCGTCGAATGATTTGTCGAAGCTCAGGATTCCCCGGCTCCCCTTCAAGCAATTACCGGTCATCTTCAGCTCATCCATGGTATGCACATTCTGAACATGCATTTTGATGCTTGGGCCATTTGGAGTCTTGGCAGCCCAGAGATATAGATCTTCATGTCGCCGCGCTTCAAAATACAGGGTATTGTTACAGTTGTTGAGATCCGCGAGCTCTGGCAGCAAATGCAGGTGGTTTTTCGAGTCAAGCTTGGAATCTGACTCGTCGAAGTCAATCGGAAGATAGGTAAAGTATACGGCGCATAGCGTACCTTTTTTGACATGTGGGAGGAGAGCTTCGAGATCATTCATAAAATGGCGCATACGATGGGTGATGCCTCGAGACGACAAGAGCAGCACTCTTTGCTTGTTCTTGGGTCTCTTCGCAATGGGAGCCTGCGTCTCCTCATCGTCTATGTCTTCGGCTTTGCGCTTTCCTTTTCCTTTTACACTTGCTTTGGATGCATTTGCCTTTTGGGTTTTAAGCACCGAAGCCATGGAAGAAGCTCGTCGTGCGTGCTACGGCTGAGAGCACTTTCCTGCAGTATGCCATTAGCGCTCGCAAGCCCAGAAAATGACACGAGCACGTGATAAACTCTAGAAACGCGAACACGCCTCGCGCCTCCGGCTCTCGAGTTTCCTACTTTCTCCCAAATGTTCAACATAAGGTGTAGTATTTGTTTTGACCTTCTTGAAGATTCGAAAACTCCTATGACGACAATTTGTGGTCATTTATACTGTCTCGATTGTGCCACCTTCAATTTTGCGATCAACGAACCCGAGGCGACATGTGCGATCTGTGGCAAACTGCATACAATGGAGAAAATGATCAGGTTGTACCCTGATTTTGATGCAAATAAGACCCAGAGTTCTTCTTCCCTCGTGGACAAGGTGCGCTAAGCTTGAAAATTTTTATGCATTCCCACTGCAGCATTATCAAGAAGATAACCTCTCACGGATCATCGACGTGTGTTCAGGCGTTGGTGTACATGGTGTTCAGCTAACGGAAACTTGTAGCACGGACACTGGTGTCCAGAAGATATTTCCCAGCGATCAGATGCCCCATATGCGGGTGAGTTGAGATTCATTCAACGAATACGACTTCACCAACTGGCATTTATCTAGAGCCTCCTCAAGTCCGTTAGAGATGTTCTTGGGAGGGTCTACCTGGTTAATGATCTACGTGCTTCACTTCCTAACCTCCGCTCACTATTTATTTCCGCATAGAGAATCAAATCCGACGCTGAACGACTACAACAATTGAAAGACGAAGTCAACCGCTCGAAAGCGAACTGCCGTTACTTACAGTGTGGTATTAAACACGAGCTGAGGAAGAGAGGAGAGGAACGAAAACGAAGTAAATCAAAAAGGGAACACGTACGCAGCGAATGGGCAGGGCGTCTCTCCGAGTTGCGGGATAAATTGGACGCAGTTGAACGAGATTATTCATCTGCGAGGAAAGAAAGCGAAATACTAGCATTGAGCGTGCGGAATGTCGAGCGGGACATGATGATGTGGCGCAAAACTGCCAGCAAGTACAAGAAAAAGGTGAGCCACTATCGAATTTTATCTGCTTGAATGAGCAGGTCTAAGGCAGCTGGGTAGTATCATGCCCAGAAAACCATGGCGATGGTGGCACCTCCAGATGAAAAGTCTGAAGACTCTCTAGAGATTGTTTGTTAGGCAACCTTGGTGGCGCCACTGACTTACTTTCTATACTTTCTACGGTCCGTACACACTGGATCCTGTGTTGAGTTGCTGCGCCGGGATGCACACAACAACCACCCCGCATATATTTCGAGTTCGTGAGTTGTGTCTTGCGGACCCTCGACGGGCCAATGGCCGTGTACAAGTACTGAACGTTGAGCGCTCGCTGCTCCACTCTGAGTACTCCAGCAATCCTATGAAGAGCTTGGGAACTTCCAGCTTGTCTGGTCCAGGTCTGAGCGATCATTGTCACTGATGATCTCAAATATCCGAAATTGCATCGCGTCTGACTACGACAGAAGTTGAGCACATCAGGAGATTGCAGGCTTGACATTCGGGCGGCGGCTGTCACAGGGATGTGGGGACAACGCTATCGTGCACGAGCACCACGAGCATATAGGTGGTCTCAAAGGATAGTCATTCGAATATTTAATGGCCAACAGCAACACCTATCTGTCATTCCTAGGCTAATCGAATAAAACACGCATCTAGTCGTCGTCGTCCTCCTCCCCATTCTGAATCGCGATATAATCAGTCGAGCTCCTCAATCAACGCTCTCATTAATAACGCGCGCGTGTGGAGGTCCTCACGCCCGCTCAAGCCTGTCCCACGTCTCACCATACCAAGCTCTTGCAAACTTTTTGCTAGTCTAGCCTCTCTTTGCTTCGGCGTTAGATGCTGGTCACTCTCAGCGCCCCCACGATTCCCTTGGTTGGATGACGATGTGCTTCCTCCTCCCGCCGATGCGGCACTGGACGATTTCCCATGATTGATCTGCGAGAATGGGCAGCCATCGCACTATGAGTACACTCTCGCGCTCGCGAAGCCACTCTCTGAACATACTAGCCGAAATCCTTTCGTTTCTGGGTTCTAATTGCCCCGCAAACACAACACATGGGTAGCGATACGCGTGATGGGGTCAAGTCCAGGTGATCAGCACGATGAGATATCTGCCCGTAAGTGCAATGCTGGTGAGGACAGCCAAAACTACGCACCTTACGACCATCCTGACTCAAAGGAGTCTGTACAAGCTGCTGAAGCTTACTCGCCGCGCCGCCACGGCGGAATATGGCGGCCGCATCATGCACGTCGCGGGCCGACACATACGGTGCGAACTCCTCGCGCGCATATAGGCCGGCATGGGATGGGGAAGGGGTGGCACTGCAAATCCCAAGCATGAATGAGCCTTGCCTCACCTGCATTCAGGGAAACGTTTGGTTTACCTAACCAGAAGGGGCGCAGCAATAGCAGCGGCAGCGATAATGGTGGTCGTGGCACGCATGATTGTCAATGTCGACAAGGAAAGACGTAAAGATGAGAGATGGATAGAGGCGTTTATTTCGGAATGAAGGGGAACAAGGTCAGGCTAGGGAGAAATACAAAGTCAATGAGGGCCGCAGTCACCAAGGAGTCTTGCACGGTCGGTATACTCACTATCCAGTACCTGTGCTTGGAGTCGGCGAGCGCACAGAGATCGACCGAGTGCTGGAGACAAATTGGTAGAGTGGATGGTCATTTTATATCAAGCTCGATGACGCGGGAGCTGTACGCGGGAGCTCGCTGTAATCAGTGCAAGCAGTGCGGGAAATGTGTTTTGAAGACTTCCCGCAAAGTGCAAACGGCGAATAGGCGGATCCAAAGACTCTCCGCAAGAATCTGGAACTCCAAATCACAGATGCCTGAGTTTCCTGGTCTCGTACCCAAACGTGTCGAAGGCTTGGGTACGAGACCGGAGTTTCCGGAGGATGATATATCGCCAGCGCCGCTCCCGGACTCGTAGCATGATCTTGACACGAACTTGAAGCACTGAGCCACTGGCCACAGGGTTTCTGCTCAGTTTTGCGATCAAGGGCCATGTTCCAAGCGTCTACATGCTATCTCGGACGGTTCCCATTGCAATAGCGATCTCATTTTTGTTTTTGCCATACGTTATACATCACAGGCCATTCAATAGCCATATCGAGTGGTGGCTAGCTGTTTCTGTAGCCGGACATGACCATTCGTGTGGATGCAGGCCGGGATGGATGCCAATAGACGATCACGGGACCTCTGTACCAACGTAGCTGTATCCCCATGCGAGGCTGTCCCAGACATTCTACGCGTGCGCTCTTCCCCCGCTCCAATAATCATGCAAGGTCGCCGCCCGTTTGCCTCCAGCGCATCGATCTACGAGCCTAGGCCCTAACACCAGGCCAATTTCACTGCGACGTCTCATCCGACTAACCATGACGAGGCCTCTTATTAGGTATGGCGGTTGTCTGATAAACAGGCACATTGATTTACTAAATGCCAATTCACACCAACGCTTGCGCCACCGTCTCACTTCTTGCTCTTCGAAGTCTGTAGGATCCTCGTTGCGCGCGGTTACACGTCCATGACTTACATGGATTAAGGACGCGGTAGAATCACAACGATATACAATCAGAAAGCAAAACAATGGGGCTACATCCATCGCCTACGCAGGCCAGCGGCAATTGCACCTATCATCCACAAAGATCAAAGTCCGTTGTGCACTCAGGCCTCAAGTACAAAGTCTACTCTTCTACATTGGTTCCGGTGTGACTCTGTACAAGAATGTAAGAGATACAGACGATTTACAACAATTGTTTCTGGTCTCTGCTCTGCTCTCTCAGTTTATACTTGGGGTACGTGCCAGTCGAGAATGTCCTCCCACTTTCCGGGGAGTAGTTGCGAAATCTGCTCCACGTCCTTATCACCTCTACCCGAAAGGCACTAGAACATCACAAAAGAGAGTCAGTAGATATCCAGCGGCACCACACGGTTGAACGTACGATAACGATGTTGGTCTCCTTGGGCATGGTCTTCGCGATACGGACACCCTCCCAAACCGCATGCGAGGACTCCAACGCTGAAGCGAAATCAGCACGTTTCAAGAGCAACGCGACAAACCTACTCACCAGGGATAATGCCCTCCAACTGTGTGCACATCCTGAAGCCGCGGAGAGCCTCCTCGTCAGTCGCAGCGACATAACTAGCGCGGCCGGAGTCTTTCAGCCAGGCGTGTTCGGGCCCTACACCTGGATAGTCGAGACCGGCACTGATCGAGTGAGTCTCGATGATCTGTCCCGAGGGCGATTGGAGAACATATGTCCGAACACCGTGGAACACTCCAGCCTGACCCTTCGCCAGAGTGGCAGAGTGGCGCTCGCCGTCAAGACCTGATATAGGTATTGAGACAAGGAAAGAATTTGTAGCTCTGTGTGGTCACCGACCTTCTCCGCCAGCCTCGACACCGATAAGCTGCACGTTCTTGTCTGGAATGAAATCAAAGAAAGTGCCGATAGCATTGCTACCTCCGCCTACGCACGCAACGACGGCGTCAGGAAGCTTCCCAATCTCTGAGTGCAGCTGTTGCTTGATCTCCTTCCCAATGATACGCTGGAAGTCACGCACAATCGTCGGGAAGGGGTGCGGCCCGATAGCTGATCCAATTAAGTAGTGAGTGTCAGCGAGATTCGTGACCCAGTCGCGGAGAGCATCGTTGACGGCGTCCTTCAGTGTGCACGAACCCGAGTGCACCGGAACAACCTGAAACATCAAGACAATGTGTTAGGAGAGGACTGGGCAGCAATCGCCGTAATACTAGCTGACCTGAGCACCGAGCATCCTGATACGGAATACGTTGAGAGCCTGGCGGCGTACATCCTCTGCTCCCATGTAGATGACACATTCCATACCAAAGCGAGCACATACAGTAGCAGTAGCTACACCGTGCTGGCCTGCACCTGTTTCAGCAATGATACGCTTCTTGCCTAGTCGTCGCGCGAGCAGGATCTAAACGACATTGAGTTTTGGGTTACACGGACGGCATCAATACACTTACTTGGCCGATAGCATTGTTAATTTTGTGAGACCCCGTGTGATTGCTGAGAGCGTCGTTATTTTTTTTTAATAAAGGATCTATACAGTACTTACAGATCCTCTCGCTTGAGCCAAATAGTAGCACCACCCGCGTGCTTCGTGAGTTGCTCCGCTTTGTATAGCCTCGACGGGCGATTCATATATCCATAGAAGCTCTCGAACTCTTTCCAGAACTCGGGGTCCTGCATTGCTGACTGATGCGCGGCCTCCAGCTCAACCAAGCAGTCCCAGAGCGCCTCGGGTACGTACTGTCCGCCGAATTCTCCAAATCTCGGCGGGAGTAGATTCTGCTTCACCGACTCGGTGTCCAATCCACTTGTCTTGATTACACGCGACGCGGAGTTGGGGGTCTTGGAGGCGTTCGGCCGCTTGGGGGGTTGGTTCTTTAGACTAATCTCACAGCAGTAGGCCTCGACGCTTTTCGCGACCTCGCCAGGAGGTGATTGCTTAATGATAGATACTAGCCGGCTACCAATGACAACGCCGTCCGCGCCTGCATCAGCAACCAAATCAAAGTGTTGGCGGGTAGCTACACCGAATCCGACGGCAAGAGGGGCATCCGTATGCTCGCGTACGCGGGAGATGAGGTTGGGCAGCGCGCTGTTCATCTTTCCGCTCACGGAGGACCCAGTAGTGCCCATCTGTACGCGCTAAACACTCCTGTTACCGATGAGGAACTGCAGAAGGCACACACCTTGGACACGATATAAATGAATGTGTCGGCGATGGACGCAAGGAATTCAATACGCCTTTCGGAGGTAGATGGGGCGATAAGTGGGACATATGAAAGACTGTGCAGATGTGGCATGATGAGTGAACAGCGTGATCACAGTCGTGAGGCAATTACTTTGATTTTGTACATTTCTCCCGGAATGAGATGGCTTCCTCAGGCGGCAGGTCAACAACTATGAAACCGTTGGCGCCGGCTTCATTGGCATCTTGAATCGCCTTGTCCTCCCCGTAAGCAAGTAGGGGATTGTAGTATCCTGAGATTAGCTTTCCAGTGAGCCAAAACGTCCGCAGCCAGATATAATGAGAACCCACCCATAAGTAGAACGGGAACCGTCAATCCCTTGCTACGAGCCTCTCGTACAATGCCAAGACAGTTTGGAAGCTCTACTTTATTCTGGAGTGCGATCTAGCATAGCAAATTCAATGGTTGTACGACGAGTAAAGATGACGGCCTGACGTACAACATTGGTTTCCTGGATCGCAGGCCCATCTGCCATGGGGTCGGAGAATGGAACACCAAGCTCTATGAGATCCGCACCGCCCTTCTGCATGGCGAGTAGGATTGTAACTGTGTCATCTTCGGTTGGATAGCCCGCGGTGACAAAGGTCACCAGCGCAGGGCTGCTCTGCGATGGACGTGAGGACCGTATTGAAGTCGAGGATAGGAGAGAGGGACTTACATCCTTATTCTTTTGCTCGAATACTTTTTTGATTGCTTCCATGGGGGCGGAAGAGAGAGTGGGAAGAAAGTAGCGAGTGTCCGGGAGGCCAGAGGCCTTTTTATTTAAACGACACGGGAGTATTGAATTCGAGTCAAGCATCTCATCCATGTCCTCATCTTATCTAATCTCCCGATTAGATCTTGGGTCTACCCGGAGTCTGCGGCGACCACTCAAACTTTGTAGATTCGAATTATGAGACACAGACTCATCTCCCCTCCGCCATGGACCTCTCTCTCTCCTCAGATGAATCAAAAGTACTTATTCTCAACACCGGGGGCACCATCAACATGATTCTCAGCCATCAGGGCTATGTCCCGGAGCCATATTTCCTCACCGAAACCCTGCGCACGCAAAACCGCTTTCACGACCCGCTCGAGGACTCCCTGTTCTCTCACTCATCGTCTGTAGAAGGATATCGTGAGTGGAGCAGCAACAGCGGAAGGGCCAGTCCCGCTCTTGGCCCCGACCGCGACGGCACACTGCCTGGCACTCCCGGACATCTCAACCCCCCGACGCTGCCTGTGCGATCTACGCGGCCCATAGGAATGTCTCGAGTGGCCGCGCAGCTGTCTCAAGTCCCTCAACAATCCAGGGCGAAATGGCCTGTGTGTACTAAGATAGCCGATGACGTTTACGAGGCGCATCTACCTAGCCTCATAACACCGCGAAGCACTGCGCCTGGCGGCATTCGGAAACGGATTCGATATGCTGTACTTGAGGTAAGTTTTGTAGCCATGAGAGATAGATCACAATATCGTTTCAGAGCGCAGTCCGTTGGCCTTAGAGCCAGACTAGTCTGTTTAAAATGCTTCAATTTTCGTACCAGCATTGCAACGGGGGATTGTCTGTTTGCCTCCCTCGAATAAAATGCTCTCTGACCTTCATATCACAAGTGGGATCCTCTTCTTGACAGCAGCAATCTTGAGATACAAGGTATAACTCACAGTAGTCCTCCACTCTGCTGATCTTATGAAAGCTGGGGTAGATTGGATTCGTATCGCCACAGAAATAGAGCTCAATTATTCCTCTTTTGATGCATTCGTCATTCTACACGGAACGGATACGATGTCTTACACCGCGTCTGCCCTCAGCTTCATGCTTGAAGATCTGGGCAAGACCGTGGTACGTTGTCTTACAGCTGCCACACGATTGACTTCGAATCTGCTCCGAGTAGATTGTCACCGGTGCTCAGATTCCGTTGTCTCAACTACGGAACGATGCAGTTGATAACTTGCTGGGGGCGTTGATGATTGCTGGTCACTATATTATACCAGGTGATTCCGAACGTCGTCGCCCGTTGCATCGGCATTCAACGCGAACCCCTCGCTAGAGTGCTCTCTGTATTTCAACCACACGCTCTACCGTGGTAATCGGGTATCAAAATTCTCGTCTTACGATCTCAACGCGTTTGCAAGTCCAAATTTCCCAACGCTCGTGAATGGTCAGTCTCAAGTGAGCCCGTGTGACGGCGCTTACAGATATGTTATACAGTGGGTATTGACATTGTCGTCAATTGGAATGATGTTTTGAGGCAAACGAACATGCGGCGATTCAGGACACATAAACGTGAGCTTACGTTTTTTACGATTTCTGTTCTTTCTGATGTCACCATAGAAATGAGTCCACATGTAGGTAAGGAGATACTGTGCGGCTGCCTGCCATCATACCATCGGTGATCATCGTCCTCAACAGCCACTCTACGACTGTTTCCGGGAATCACTGCAGCAACCGTGCGAGCATTCCTCACGCCTCCCACTCGGGGTGTTGTCCTTGAGACATTTGGCGCAGGTAATGCCCCACAGCGCACCGATCTCATCGGTGCTCTCAAGGACGCCTGCGACAGAGGCGTCGTGATTGTCTCCATCTCGCAATGCGCCAAAGGCTCCGTCTCGGACGCATATGAGACCGGGCGGAACTTGCTGCTAGCTGGCGTCGTACCGGGTGGAGACATGACCCCCGAGGTCTGTCGTAGCGCTCCTGATCTGTTACTCCCGACCCGCTGACAAAACACGAACCGATAGTGCGCTCTGACCAAACTCAGTTACCTCCTCTCGAAGCCGGAGCTGTCCGTTGCGGAGGTGCGGGCGCTGCTCGGGACACCCTTGCGGGGCGAGCTTACCCGCCCCGCAAGCACACTCCCACCACCGACGGGCGATGCGAAGGGTATTGCGCAAAATCTCGAGAGCATCCAGGGCGTGCTTTCGCACGCCATCCGTCTTTCATCTGCACAACCACACGTCCCCCACGTCATCGTTACCCCCGACACGCCAAGCAACGGTGGCGAGAGCCTCGCGGAGGCCGCGGCGCCCTGGTCGTGGACAGCTGCAGAGGCAGCGTCAACTGAGAGCGCGCTGTACCCGTTCCTCATCCATTTCGCTGCCGCGCGCGACGACATCGCTGCGGTCCGGTTCTGTCTCGCTGCGGAGGCAGGGGTTGGTGCGGAGGCTCCGAGCCCGAACCTCTCGAACCCCGGAGCAGATTTTCAGCCGAGGCGGATAATCACTGTCGGGGGCGGGCTGGCGAACTGCATCGAGCCGGCGTCGGGGCGCTCGCCCCTGCATTCGGCCGCATTAAACGGGAGCGTGCACACGGTGGGTGCTTTGTTGGAGGCAGGCGCGCTAGTCCATCTGCGCGACGCGCTGGGGCATACGTCGCTATATTATGCTGCACGACAGGGGCATGAGAACGTCGTCGAGGTGCTAGTGAAGGCTGGTGCGATCTTGGGTGGCTCGGACGTTGAGGGCGGGTTCGCATCGCTGGCGGTGAAGAAGGCCTCCGTTACGCGGGACGAGCGGGCGCTAAGGATCTGGACAACAGCGGGTGCGCCGAAAGAAGACTGACAATGTGATATTGTAGGATATGCCCTAGATTTTGTAGGAATTAGATAGGTATTGTAATAATGAGAGCAGATGTGACCAAGAATATCCATAGTCCAAAATCCCAGGGACCATATATACGAGACAATGGTCACCTGCGGTTATACAGCAGTACACCATTCTATAATAATGCTTATAAAACGGTCTGTCAACCGTCGATTTCGATCACGTCATTCTCCAGCTGATCTTTTTCGTCGTCTGATTCCTCAGTATTACCTTGTACGATGTCCGTTATCTTTTCCGTGAGAGTCTTGAGGAACACAGGTAGCTGGTCTTGAATGAATACAAACGGCTCCTGGAAGAAGTCCAGGTTCTGTACAAATTCTTGCGGCTCGTTTTGCAGATCTCGTGGTTGGAATTTGACCCGCTTTATCAAATCCTCTTTCGTGATGGGCTTAGAGTCGTCCCAATTTTCTTGTTTGTCGTATATCTGCCGCAAGTTAAAGTTCAGACCTAACATGGATATTCGATCAGCAAGTCCACGATACCATATCAGATAGAGTTGCATACTGGTGGCAGGCCGATCTGAAGAGGGTTCCTTATGTGTATAGACACATGTGAAATTAGGCTCGTCAAGCCCCAGAAATGTACTCTTTTCCATCTTCACCGAGACAACGAGAAGATTGGTCATGTCTTCATACAATCGCACGACGAATGCATTTCTAGGATCTTCGGCTGTGTTGGAGCGAATCACGGGCGCCTGGCTTCGGGAAGACAAAACTCTGCCCCGTTCAACTTCTGCAGCTAGGTCGGAACGCAATAGTTTTTCTACAGAAGCAACAGATTGGGGTCTGAGGAGATCTGGAATATCCATCGTAAGCGGGCACACCTTGATTTTCCAGTTCGCTTATGTGCTTGTCCTTCTGCGCCAGTTTGACATCTCTCTCTTTGACTACCTCCTTCCATCGCGCGACCTCCTTCTGCACAGCTTCCTTTTCCTCATCTGCCGCTTCGCGGGTGAGGAAATGAAGCACAGCCGACTTGCCTGTGCTTCCGAGAGCCTTTGTGTTTGCCAGTTGTGACGTGAGTTCGTCGATAATGGTTTCCTGAGCTGCCAGGCGGAAGTATAATAAAGCAGGGAAATTTAACCAATACGAAAAGACATACTTTTGAAACGTGCTTCAAATTGTACTTTCAGTTGTTCAAATGCCTGCTCCGGCTCTGTTTGTCGTATCTGAAATAACTCCTCAAGTTGCTGCGCATATTTATCCCTTTCAGAGGTAACCTGCGCACGTTACTTTATTCAATCATGCATATGAAAGGAGGATACTTCTATTTACATTCTCTAATTGTCTACGGAGGGATTCGAGCTCGTATCTGAGATTTTCTTGTTCCCGTGATGGTCGACTCAACGAGGGATTAGATCTAGACTTGCTGTCGTTTTTCGCACGAGACACTCGTCCGTTTGGGGGATCTTCAGGCTGATCGCCATGGGATAGAGCATCACCCAGTTCTATAGGTGATCCTGATATGGTGCCAGGAGCACTCCTCGAAGGACCAGGAGCGTCGGCCCTGGCCTTACCCTTCGCATTGGAGGACTTTGTTGCCCTATTCTTGGCGGTCGGCCTGGATGTTTGGGGAGCTGTACCTACTGCATCGTTCTCACCACCACCGGTAACACCCACTTCATCGCCAGATGACTCTATCACGATTGATTCGTGGGTGGCATTGCTGTGCCGCGTCGGGGCAGGGCGTTTCGATGGCACGGTCTGTGATTTGCTCGAAGAACCTGCCGAAAGCCTGTTGTTCGTTGGTGGAGGGCGTGCAGCCGACTTCCTGGCCGTGACGATTCGAGCTGGAGTTGTGGGATCAAATGTGGCTGGTGGGCATGCCTTGGTACATATTCAGAAGGTCCTGAGCGGTTTCACAAGCACAAGACACATACCGAACTCATCTCCAGAAGAATCCGACATATTGAAAAGAGGATCAGCTGAAGACGCGTTGCCCGAAGGTGGTGGTAGAGGTCAGGCAAGGGTCGTAAGACGCGCCGACAGAAACGCGTCCACGCGCTTGCACGTGCACACGCGTTGCGCGGGTGCGATCGACTCGACTTGTCTCAAGCTATCGACCGCCGCGTAATCCTATGGAAGTTCAGTACAACTTTGACAACCTCGTCCTGGACCTGCTTGCCATCTCTCAACATGCAAATTAGACTTGAGAGTCAATATTTGTTACCAGCAGTGCAAAGCGTGGACCATGAGTCGTTGTACTCAGATCCAGGGCAGCCACTGGGCAGCCGCATGCGAGTGTTCGGTGACTCCTTATCGGTTCCGACAAGATCTTGATGCTTCTATCGCCTTCTCGTCTATGAACGCCCACGTATATATTCTGATACGAATGCGGGGTACGCATACGCGCAATCTGCACGTAAGCCCCAGAGAGAAAAATCCAGCACCTTACACTGTCTGTCACACATTTGTTCTTGAGTTTGTACAAATGTTTACCGATTAAACCCGCTCATACAGCCCACAAATAACCATGGAGGATTACCTGAAGCAGCGTGAGCAACTCATCACGGAAGACAGAGCTCAACGAGTGGACTCTGCTAGGATGCAGTCTTTGACGCACATCGAACAGAAAGCTGAAAGCATTGTTCGCGCCATCCGTGCTGCTGAGGCTGTGTCGGTCTGGGGCGTTAATGGTACCACGATCTTTGACTATCTACCCGACGACAAATCTCCCAATGTCTTCCCGGGAATGGCGTTCTTGACAGGTCCGCAGCCGACAATATAAACTGTCTTCTGGATGATGCTGAAAATTGAATATCAGCTCGGAATATCGCTGTGCACACGCAGCTATTCCAAATATTGAGCAGGGTATGGCATATTTTCCGAACATATTCTTCCATCTTTGTATGACTCCGCGAGTCTTCAGATGCCAAAGGGCGCCCTGCTTCATGCCCATCTTGATGCTACTGTCAAGGCGCGTGTTCTGCTTAAGCTGGCTCTCGAGCAGCCCGCAATGCACGTTCGGGCTGCGAACCGAATCACTCCGAATAACTTGAGGGCAACGTTGCCCGAGTTCAAAGCGCTGCCTCAGGATCAGTGGACCAGCCTGGCTTCTTTGACGGAAGACTCGTATGTACCCAATGAATACGTGCCATTGCATAAAGCTCGCCAGAACTTCGATCAGAGTCTCGGCGGTCCAGAAGCATTTGACGATTGGGTCGTGAGCGCTTTGGAAATTAACCCGTCAGAGGCGTATGGCACACACAATACCACTGCCAAGGTGACATCTCCTCATTACTCTACGCCGATGGACAAATTGCTAACTTTCTGAAGATATGGGCCAAATTTACCAGTACTTTCATGGTCTCCGGGGTGGGTTAGCCATCATGTATAAATAACGCTCATTACAATGACCGCTCCAGAATTTGTGCCACTTTCTTCCGCTTTGGCGGAAGTACGTGCGAGAATTTTTGCTGTCCTCTGTCGATGATGGCATTTCCTATGTCGAGCCACGGATCAATTTCTGGTACAAGTAAGGTTTTCTTAGCCGGGGAATTGTCTCCTCGAGGTGCGCATATATTTAGGCGACTCCAATTCTTCAGGTACATGACTGGCGCGGATGGCCAAGAAAATGTTACGCATAGAGAATGTCTGGTCGCGTTTGACGAGGTTCTCAATGAGGTTAAGGCAGAGCTCAAACGTCAAGGTCGAGAGGATGAGTTTGTAGGTGCAAAGGTGACGCTTTCCGATAACTGAAAATAAAACAGCTCGATCATGTATCTTCTCTCGTTCACTAGATCATCTATACCACCTTGCGTATGGACCAAGGCGACAACGTCGAGTGGTACCTGGAAGATTGCCTCGCTCTCAAGAAGGAGTTTCCACATTTAATTGCGGGTCAGTAACACTTGCTCTGGATTGAATTCTGACTAATGATTTTCGCGCCGTCAGGCTTCGACCTTGTTGGGCACGAAGACTCCCTGAAGCCTCTGACCGACTACATTGAACCGCTCACCAAGTTCAAAGCACGTCAGAAGGAGCTCGGACTCGACATCCCGCTCCTTCTTCACGCCGGAGAAACGCTCGGAGATGGCTCTGCCGCCGACATGAATCTATATGATGCCATTCTTCTTGGTACGAAGCGGATCGGACACGGGTAAGTTTCCGATACCCGTTCTGTGCTGATTCCCCACCACCCATAAGTCTCGTCGTGTGAAATGTTTTTCTAGATATTCCCTCGTCAAACACCCGAAGTTGATGGAGATCTGCAAGGAGAAGACGATTGCCTTGGAGGTCTGCCCTATATCGTAAGTGCTAGCCCAGAGCCCTGTTTACATATCTAACATAGCGGTTCCAGCAACGAGGTGTTGGTACGCGGCATTTACTCATCCCCTTTAACCGTGTATACTCACAATAAGCACGAAGCGTTTAACAACTTCTATGCCGATGCATCCGCTTCCGATCATGATCAACCATGGTCTTCCTGTCGCGCTGAGCTCTGATGATCCCTCTGCATGGGGAAGCACGGGGTTGACGTACGACTTTTATCAGGTTCGTCTTATGACTGCAGGCCGAGTTTCTGAATCAACGCCTCATGTGGGATCCCAGGTTTTAGTATCGACAGAAGTCTCGGGATTAATTACCATGGGCGAGCTCGCTCGGGACAGTATCAAGGTGTGTCTTCTCGTTCTTCGTATTACACTGTCTCTGAGCAAGCGTCAATGCCACACAGTATTCTTGCCTTGAAGATGCAGAAAAGGAACGTGCTCTGGCACTGTATGAGAAGCAGTGGCTGAAGTTCACGGAGTGGGTCGTGCACGAATACTCCGCTGCCAGCGCAGACGGGACTCGGAAGATGCCTAACTAGAAAACATACCTATTAGCTATCAGATGCGGTTGAATGTATAGTACATGTAGCTCCATCCCCACTCTTGAGATAATTTATTCTTGCAAGATTATATTTGTAGTCGGCAGCAGTTGAGCGAAGCAGACTCACGCGAGCCTTCCGAGATCGCGGCTCTTTATGTCGTGACTATTACGCGCGTGCGCACGAGTAGAGCGTCTACCTCGAGTCTACTTACCGAGCTTCTTCAAACGGTGCCAGGGTAAAAGTTGCGCGTCCCTTCACTCTTAGACCCTGTACGCCAAGATGCACTCTGTTCTAGCTAGACGCACATTTCAATCGACGCTGTGTTCACCCCAGGTGTTTTCCAGACCGTTCCACGCATCGTTACGGCGGAATGAGCAATTTATCGACGCAGACTCAGAGGTACTTCGAAACCTTCTCTGTTGAGCTCAATTCTTAAGAATGAGAACGCAAAACTCCTCGCTGACCTTCCATTATGATACGTTGTAGACATTCCGGAAGGTCATCACGAAGACGGACAAGGTCGTCTTAGTAGACTTCTATGCAAAGTGAGCAGATATGCTTCTCCTGGCGTACAATTTTCTGGGCGTATGATTCTACGAACGTCGGCTTATTGTGTGTCCATTTCCGTCCATAGTTGGTGCAGACCATGCAAGATGCTCTCCCCCATCCTTGAGAAGCTGACTGACGACCCCGAGGTCAAGTCCGGCAGTGGCTTGTCCCTCGACCTCGTCACGATTGACACGGACACAGAGGTTGAGCTCGCTCAAGAATATAACGTGCGTGATATTCTGACATACTCCGTTCGCTGTAATAATCTGTGTGCGTGTATCTGGAGGGTAGGTGAGCTCTCTCCCAACTGTGATGGCATTCAAGGATGGCAAGCCAGTCAACCGCTTCATCGGTGCTTTACCGGAACCCCAAGTTCGCGCGTTCCTGCAAGTGGTTTGAGAGGAAAGCAAGTCATGATCAGTATAAGTCCACTACACATCACATCACATGTTTCCTTAGCACCGCTAGCCCGCTCTTTGTTACACTCGCATACAAGCCCCTGCTCAGCCACACATTATTCTAGAACATCTCTTTTAACTAGCCCAACCTTTCGTTGATCAGTACGACTAAGCATAACAGTATTCTACGAATATGAAGAGAAAGACGTCGCCTAAGAGGCGTGGTTAACCGGCAGCGGCTTGAACAACATGAATTTTACGACGACTTCGTTCCTAGAATATCGAAGAAGGCCTCCTGGGGTAGCTCAACACTCCCCACCCTCTTCATCTTCTTTTTGCTCTCTTTTTGGTTCTTCAGGTGCTTGAGCTTGCGTTCGTAATGACCTGGAAAAATAGGAAAGAGCCCGTATTTGAGTTAGTCGGTGTAGGAAAGCTCCGAGTCAGCAGAGCCAAGCCTACCGCCGTATAGTCCGGCCGTAACGTCTGCCCTAAGCGCGGACAATGTCTCGCGTGCTACAATTCGTCGTCCGACAGCCGCTTGTATGGGCACTTCAAATAGTTGTCTCGGAATAACCTTATCTGTAGAACAGCGTTGGTAATAAGATCCTCCGTTGGGGTGATCATGGCACATACGAAGCTTCTTCACCCATGCTCTGCCGACGTCTTGCTCGGCAGAACGATGGACGATCAAGGCCAAGGCATCAACCGGCTTATTGTTGAGAAGGAACATCATCTACGCATGCTACAATCAACACAGTGCATGAATATGCACTCATGCAGATGAATGACCTTGACCATATTGCTCGGCTGATATCCGGCGTCTTCATAGCTGTAAAACATGATGATGCGCGCTCTAAACAATTGCCGTTACACACAATGAGAGTCACTTACTCAAAGCTGGCGAAGCCGGAGCTACGGCTTTTGAGCTTGTCAAAAAAGTCCGTGACAATCTCCGTGAGTGGCATCGTGCATGTCAACATGATCCGAGAATCAGGGGTACCAGACGTATCCAGGTACTTCCAGTCCAGATTCTCCGCTCTGTGGGAGTAGCATAGTTCCAGCATATCAGAAAGATAAGCTGTGCAACGCGTTAGATATTGTTCAAGTCAGCGATCAGGAGCAGAGGATAGTCAACACACACTGGGGGGCAATCATAGACGCGTTGACGATAGGCTCTTGGACTTCCTTTGCTCTGACTGAAGAGTCTGCCATGTCAGGGAAGTCTGTCGGGTTGCTCACAATCACAGTCTTGTCCTTGTAAACGACTGCACAAATCAATAGCATGCCATATAATTTTCCGGTCATCATACGAACTTTTGTAAGGGACGGTTGGTGCCGTAATTATGATATTCGCATCATACTCGTCTTCCAGCCGCTGCCGGAAGACGTCCATGTGCAACGTGCCCAAGAAACCTAGGCGACACCCTTGTCCGAGAGCGGTAGACGATTCTCGGGTGACCTCGACACTGCGATCCGTGAGAGTGAGCTGCAATGCGTCAGTCAGAATTTGTTCCGACACAACAAGAATCTTCAGATGTACGAACCCGCTTGATAGACTCCTCTAATTTAGGGAAGTCGTTGCTATCAATGGGGTATATGCCTGCATAGACCTTTTCTGAACATCAGGGACAAAACTTAACCGAGGGTGACAGGCCTGACCATGGCCTTCGCCAGTTTGAATCCGGGCATTGGCTCGACAGTTTCTCCGACTCTATGTAGAGTGTCGCCAACGTGCGCTGCGTTCGGCAAATCAACATCAAATGGAAAACGTGCTAAGATTTTGCAAACCTTCAGACGACTCTTTCATGTTGCAAGCGATAAAACCTACTTGTCCCGGCTGAAGACTCGCGGTGGGCGATTCCTCCGGGTGCATGATTCCCAAATCGACTACCTCGTATTTTTTACGAGTATGGCATGACGCAATCTTGTCGCCTATATAATCATGAGTTTCAGATGCATACAGGTTATCTTATAGACTCGCCCTTCCGCAGGACACCCCCTTGTATATTGACGAGAGAAATCACACCACGATATCGGTCATACCTAAAACATATCAATCAATATCTTATGGTCGGCTGCGGAGAGCTAGATGCGCACGAAGAATCAAATAGTAATGCTTTCAAGGGGGCGGAAGCGTCTCCCGAGGGTGGGGGTATCCTGTCAATGATAGCTTGTAGCACATTCTCCACACCTTCACCAGTCTTGGCAGAGATTGCTATACAATCCACCGGATCTATGCCGAAGGTAGACTGCATTTGAGCGGTTATAATCTCTGGCTGGGCAGCAGGCAAGTCAATCTGGACGCCCATTGAGTCAGCACATGGAGCAGCTGACGGCAAAGGTGCGGGAAAATTTACTTTATTGAGGACTGGAATGATCTTGAGACCACGTTCCTGAGCTATGTGGAATACCGATATGGACTGGGCTTCGATGCCCTGCGTTGCGTCAACGAGGAGCAGTGCGCCTTGACAGGCAGCGAGAGAGCGAGAAACTTCCCATGCAAAGTCAACATGACCCTGTCCATTGAATAAACAATTTACAGTCTGCTTCTGACTCATGAACCTTGCTGTCACACTCACAGGCGTGTCAATCAAGTTGAGGAGGTATTGATGCCCAGAAAACTTGTGTATCATACTGAATATACTTAGAGCGGATATAGCGGATAAGATGAAACGTAGGATACCTCGCAGTCTGAGCCTTCACTAAGTCACCTCATCAGAACGTGTCATGCAGTTAGGGAGGAGTAGAAAACATACCTGTGATACCACGCTCCCGCTCAACCTTCAATTTATCCAAAACTTGTTGATTCGAGCCTTTCTGCTTCTTGTCGATAGTCCCTGTCAGCTATATTAAGTGATGGCTCAGTGACGCGCCATCTCACAGTGGCTGGACTAACAGACCTCGAGCAACCTACGCGGGTAAGGTTACTCAGAGAACTACAGTACCTTGATTGCGCTTACGCACCTGTCCGCCAAGGTTGATTTACCATGGTCTTTACACATGAATTCTCGAGTTATTACCGTGTATATTCATGACGCAGGACCAACGCGTACCAATGTGAGCAATTATCGAGAAGTTCCTGGCTCAGGGTGAGCTTGAGAGGCAATACAAGCAATCAGAAAACCGCATACCGTATCATCTCGCATGGGAAGTCTTCCATCTGAATTGCTCTCCGTGTGGCAGCATAGCATACCGAATGCACTGAGAAATGCCTCTGCGCGCCGTAGCAAGATCGAAGCGCATGTTCCTGGTGTCGTTCAAATACTTTCAAGCACGATGAACGCCAATTCTGGATCATTACCCAGCCCTCTGTCAGAAATCACAAAAAGCAGGAAAGAAGCAGCGAGTTCCAGCATGAACTTGAAGCGAATCTCAGACGGCCAAGTCGCGACGTGCTCTCTTGCTTAGTCAGCACGCTGTTCTCTCCGCGGCCCTGCGCGTCTTTGATCAACTGAGCCTGAGCAGGCAACACTGAACCTACATCACAGCCTGGGAGGTACCGTCTCGTCAGCCTCGCTCAATCCTTCCGACTGCCAACTCTTGCTATGTCTCTCGCAGATGCGTCTGAAGCCCGGAAAGCGCGTTTGGTCGCGCTTCGCAAGAGAAAAGCAGGCGAGGCAGGTGACAACGACAAGTGTGTCAACTTTTGCGCTGTTGGAGTGTAACATGGCTAATCCATGGCTCGTAGTGTGTCCTCAGACACAGTCATCAAACACCGAACGTTTGATCCTGAAAGGCGGACTTTGAAGAAGCATACACCTGACGATGATGTCGTAATGGAAGATACAGTCGAGAAGAAAGTGGAGGGGCTTGCACATGCGATTATTGCAGAAGATGCGGAACGACGAGCGCAAGATTTAGTATGTGGCTAAGCTATCATAAGCTGTCTAGTTTCTGACTCGGGTATCCAGGATTTGTTTAACATTGCGCCCAAACGGCCAAATTGGGATTTGAAGAGAGAGATGGAGAAAAAGCTCGCGAAGCTGGAGCGAAGAACGCAGGAGGCAATCCACACTCTGATAAGTGGGTCGGTTCTCCCTCGTAGACTCATGATGATGCTCATTGTGAATAGGACAACGACTGGCTTCACAGAAGGGTCAATCAGACGATATATTGGGCGCTATGAATGCTGCAGAGAAGGCAGGCCAGGTTGAAGATGATGCGTCAGATGACGAAGATTAACCGTCCCGTCTGTCCGGCCACTTATTAATTGTATACTGAGCTCACAGTCCGCTGTATCTCTAGCTTCAAAGGTTTTTGCACGGAGTCTAATACCATTTAGCCTAATGTATAACCGAATCAGTTGCTTTCCGTGAGGCAAATTCCGCTCTGAAAAGGCCTGTATGCTATTTGTCGCTTGAATTACTGTAAGTATAAGGTAAGAGTGGGATCTCCCGTAACTCCGACAGCACGCCCTGCATTCATCAAATAGGCCGTGAATTCAACATCTGGATCATACGCTGATCTTCCGCTCCTCGTGGAAGCGGACGTCCTTGTTGTCCAGTCGCCCCCACACGCGGAGGCGGGAGAACTAGGGGATTTCCCGGTTGATCGCGCGGCTGGCTTCCGTGCGGGGTTGGCGATGTCCCGGATGAGGAGCCTGTCGCGGGCGATGCTTCCACGTTCCTTGACCTCGATTTCCCGCTCTTGTAAACACCCTGCGGCACGGTTAGATTACGCAACATCCGATCACGCTCGAGGGTCGGGATGTTGGGGAGGTCCGCATACGTGAAGTAGGCGGTCAGATGCCATTTCCGTGGCCTTGCGTTCGCCGACACGAGGACCCACGCCGAATAGGCCTGCTTCACCAACCCCATTGGGGCCTGATCGCTTCGGTCGAAGTGAGATTGTGCTGAAGATGACCACGTCCGAGACGGCCCGTCGACAAAGCGATAGGTGGATCTGCAAAACAATGATGGTCGAAATTCTTGGCATAAAAGGCGTGATGAACATGATGCTCACTGTGAGGTCTGCCCGCTGTTGGTCTGATTTCCGTCTGGAGATACTCTCTCATCATAGAACAGATACGGCTGGTTCAGTGGCGTCAATATGCAAAGCGCCCAAGTTAACGAACGCGCATACCTCTCGCATTCGAGACTGGCTCCATATGCGACCGTCAGTCCATCTTTTCAGACCGGTCTCCTCTTCGCTCTCCTCCCAAACGAACACAGAGCCGGATACAATATATGTTGATCTTTCGTAGTCGTTCAACCGTCGCCTGACAAGCTTCAACATTCCTAGACGGACTGCCTCGAAGAGGGTGTGTGCATCCCGAGCGTCGCGGAGATGAAGACGAGGGTGCGTAGGGCCTTGAACGTCGCGTTCAGCTCCTTGGGACATCGCAGAGTGCAGACTTGGGTACAGGAGGGGTTCTGATTCACAATAACGGTAGGTCGTATTTTCGGCCTTTTGAGGTAGGCGATTGACATGCGCTTTTATAGTTGGAACCTCAAGGCACTCCAAGGGACTATGACGCCCATCCTGCGATCGATTTTTACGCTTCATAATGCATGCACCGACACCAGGGACACTGCACCGTAATGCATTATACCATTTCTGTTGATCGGTACTAGAAGGGCGAAGAATCACGGCGTTAGAATTTATTAGAAGCGTACCATGGCGAGAGGCTCGATTGCAAGACATAGCGAGGCCACAGCGTCTGTGCACAGGATAGTGTGGGACATGCGCGCCTTTCAGGAACATAGCGGCCTTGCGTTTTCACCACACCAAAATTCTCCATCTCTCCGTGTACGGCAATGATCCGGAAATGCAGGACTATTTTGCGCGGTATGAGCAGCCCGGGTAAAATGTCGCCCTTCACGACTGACAGTAGTGCCAGACGCTTCAAGCTTAAAGGCCACCCGTTGCGATGCGCTGTGAATCGGTGACTCCATTGTTACCGTGAATCTCGGAGACCTGCAATGCCATGAGGAATGTGTATCACGTATTTGCCCGAGGGATCCTATCTACGAAACGTACTGATACACGCACTTCGGCAGCACGATCTCTGGAAGATCACGCTCGACTTGCGGCAGATTGTTCCACGCGTGCGCCTGAGCCTATAAATTATTGCCCGAGATGTTTCGCTCGATAAATTGGAGCAAGGACGTTTGTTGTTGCCACCTGTTCCTGAGATTTAGTGCGCTCCGAATGTTTAAGTTTGGCCTAGCTTTGTTGGGACAAATGACAACGGCTAAGATGGAGTCATTGAAAGGCTTCCGCGAATTTCAACGACGGAAACAATCAACGTAACTATAAATTGTCGCGTGAGATAACACACTTTCGGTGTTGACAAGCGTGGACTGATCGTGCTGTCATCGCTCGCGGTCTTCTCCATTTGTTCTGGCCCAGGTCAAACAAAATTGCAAACTCAGTGCAGGATGTATGTGCATCGTGGACTCGGGACGCGACAAAAACGCGGAAAGTGGCCGAGTAAAATCACCTCCGCTGCGGTAAGTCTCGGAACTGGGAAAGCGCGCAGGTCGTCTAGGAAGACGGCAACGATCAGCTGGCGAGGGCCTTGTGGTGGAATATCCGAGACGACACCTACGAATAACAGGGGTCCGGAACCTGTGCAGCCGTGTATACAGACTTGCGCTGAAATATTGTGGATAGTTCACATCTTGAATTGAAGCTGCCACCGCCGCAGCGGCCCGCCACCGTTCTAACCAACCCAAAAGTGGACACGCTAGAAACGATGCGGTGTGGGAAAGCGGCCTCGTGACCGGATACTGGCGAGTGCTTCGCCATTGTCTGCTTCAATCCTGCCGCCATCGTCTGCTCAGAATGTCACTCGACGCTGAACAATCCGCACGTCGCATTCCATCTTTGGTGCAAATATGCCAGCGAGGTACGAATCACATCCTCGGGTAGTAGAGTCTAGTCTCACTCCAGCTCGATCACCGAATCTGGTGTCCAGTTGCAGCCGCGCATAGTGATAGTAAGTTCTGTCACTTTGAACCTCGGTGTTTACCTCATGACCACTCAGGCATATGCGGCCTTAGTGGCGGTATTCGCTATGACTTGCTTATCCCTATCCTGGAGAGCTGCTCCCCAGAGACCCTACTCCGGCTAGAACAGGATAGCCCGGTCTGTTTCTGTATCCTTAGTATATGGCTGGGGCTTATGGCATTTGCATTGACATCCCCAGGAGTTAGAGAAGGAAACAACAGGCAAGTTCATTCTTAGCATATAGAAGAAGGAAGGGAAGTCGGTGCTCATGCAAGGCCTAGATATCTGGCGGAGGTTATCCTTCCGGACATATCCTATTGTCACTGAGCAGTATCGCTCCAACGGCATCGAAGAGCCAGAATCATGGCGGGATGAATTCTTTGTACGTGGTCATCTCATCGCTGGTTCCACACAGGCATCATATCGACCGGCATAGCTGCTCCGCGACATGGAAGCCAAACGCTTCGAAGAGCTCGGATCGCGCCTAAGAACAATACGTCAAGAAGCGGCGGACCGCAGGAAAGAAACACAGATCAAGATTACAGATCGTCTCCCTCAAACCAAACGCTCTCGTAACTGTACATATATAACTCTTGTTGCATGTGCACCACACTCATTCGTATTTTGGCCAGGGGGAGCATATCAGCCGAAGACCTTATTACAGAAGACACGATCAGAGGCCGCGCGTATGCAGAAGGGCATTTACGGCACGCCAATGATTCCTCCTATGCCTACCGCTAAGAATTACCGTGTGACTCCCTCTGTGCCTAGTATCAAGCTCCCGCAGGTTCCAACCAACGCAACTGCATCGTCTCGTGTAAGGGTAACCACCGTCACGGTGCGCAGGCGTTCGACAACATCAAAGGACCATTCGCCACCAAGCAAGACGTCGGCTAAGACAGCTTCCACCCAACCCCTGCTACCAGCACCAACAAATGCCGCTCCAAGTATTTCGAAAGAAGCAATATCAGCTTCGTCGAATACCCGGTTGCCTGGGCAGGCCTCGCCACCTCGTGCACCACCATCTAGCCGTCTATCAGCGACCAAGAAGGATCCACTGTCGTCCCTTTTCATGCCCAAACACAGGGCGTATTCCCAACTATCCCATCAATCTGTTTCGTCACGTAGCATGTGCTCATGACTC